TTTGTGCTTCAGATTTCGTATTAAGTAAAATGTAATTTTGATAGCACATAAACATTGGAATAGTAAAACCGTAAATATAGACGGAATAGTAAATAACATAGGAAAATCATTAGCATCAGCTTACCATTGGACATACGAAAGTTTGTATGTGTGTTACTTCTAAACGCTGAAACTGCCGGACAGATTCTGATGAAATTTAGTATAACACATTTAGATTATAATACTTTGCTTTTTACCCAATTGTGTAATAATGATAATAAAAACAATATAAAAAAACAATAACAAGAAAAAAATGGTAGGTACACGTTAATTTACGACGCCCTAAGATTGAAATTACAATTCATTATGTTTGTATTTAAATATGGAAGGTGAACAAGAACTAGTGGCCTTTGCCATATATGCAAATTGAGTGTGATGATTCCGGTGTTACAATAAAAATGATTTACGTTTTAAAATGTAATTTTTTTTATACTTTTAAATTTACCTTTCGTCCCAATATTTTTTTTATTTGATTTAATGTTACTTATAATGGTTTTGGTTTCATAATTGGTGATTCTGTATCATCATAGTTTTTATTTTTATTTTTATTTGTATAATATTAATTTGTATACATTTGCTAATGTTTTTTAAATGAAGCTTCTTTAGAATCGTTGTGATTTGAAACTCTATGAAACGGAAATACGTCACTAAAAAGAGACAAGCACATAAATAGGATTATAAAGGATTAAGCTGGCGAGAGAATGAGATAGATACATTGCCATGTTGCCATGGTAACTGTTGTTATTGTCTGACAAATAATATTTAATATCTTACTTAAATATTCTTATATATTATAATATCTTGAAATATTCTTTTCTTATATGATATTCTATAAATATATGATTGTAATATGCCTTACATGCCTTATTTAATAATTGATTTGTTTTAATTCAAATGCGATATTAGCCAAATAAGTTTCACATCTACCGTGAGTTATTTGCATGCATACTTTTAAATATTTTTTTAAATATATTTTATTATTTATATTTTAATTTTGTTTGTTGCTGTATGATTATTGAAATAACTAGTAAAGAAAATTAATTTATTTAAATAGTTATGTTATTGTTAAGTGCTGGTTTTTATTAATTTAATACAATTAAACTATAAATAAAGAAACCCTTAACACAATAACTTATTCATCGAGGCCATTTCATTGCGCCGAAACATGATATCTCGGCAGTAATTTAGTAAATAGTAAACTCTTAGTACTCATAGTTATGCAGATTCCAGGTGACGCTGCAGCATCAATCCAAAAATACCATGTGCAATGTCACGGAAGTAACGGAATACTAAGTTTCGAATAGATAAGACTGTGGAAGTGGCTCATATTGTATGTTTCCTGAACTGACAAAATTATTATTATCAATTAGGCCTTTTGGCTACGAAACCCCTAATAATTATAATATATGTAGGTATCTCTGTTATGTAAAAAGTTTAGGAATTATGAAGAGTTCAAAATGATTGATAGATTAGCATTGCCCGCGGCTCCGCCCGCGTTCAGATGACCAAAAACCAAATTCTTAGGTTTTACATATTAGTATACTCTTACATTGTAGTTTTTGTATTTTTTCTAAGAAACGACACATTTTCCCGCGATAAAAAGTATCCTATATGTTGACCCGGATAACGAGCTATCACCATACCAAATTTCATCAAAATCCCTCCAGTCGTTTTTCTGTGAACTGTGTAACAGACAGACAAAAATTCTAAAAACTATAGATTCGGCCTCTGTATCGATAATAATATCTATTTCAATAAGATTTTCCAAAAAATATTTAATGTACAGATTCGACTTAGTTACATATTTATTATATGTATAGATATTGATTTGTAAAGATTGAAATAATCTATCGTCAAGTTAAATTTATCCAAGCACTTACTGATTAAAGATATCTAAGCTTAATACATATATCAGATGCTTTTATACTACATTAATGCTGTGATATTCGTAAAGTTAAATGATTAATGTCATTAAAAATTAAAATACGTAATGCTTATAACCTTTTATATTCAAAAGTCAAGTTAGTTCGTTGCTCTATTGAGGCAGGCAATTAATTATTATTATTTGAGATATAGGTAATAGAAATAATATTTGTTTTACGTCCAAAAAAGAACAACAATCAATATTTAACAAATTTAATATTAGTAGCAGTTAATGATGTCTATACATATAATAAAATTTTAAGTTTCTAAGTCAAATCTGTACAATAATTAATATTTTTTGGAAAATCTTATTGAAATAGTCATTATTAACGATACAAAGGCCAAATCCATAGTTTTTATATTTTTTATCTGTGTATGACTACATCACGGGTAAATAATTGGTCAGATTTTGATGAAATGTGGTTTGATATTAGCTAATAAACTAGATCAACCTATAAAGTAATAAATAGAAAAACTAGTTAAAATAAAACCACGCTAAAACTAAAACATATTAGACAAGTAGTTTACAAAATAATGCAAGAAATAAATAACGTAATAACGAACGAACGTACGTAATAACGTCTTCTTAGCTTCTGAAAAAAAACTATATCAATATGTGAAGTTTAATTAGCTGTTTAGAAAATCATCAATAGATGTTGCCATGTATTTTTAAAATATGTTAATTATAATTAAAAAAAAAATAATATAGGTACTAGGTACAGATATTATAACCTTTCTATGACTATTAGAATAACTAGCATTACCCGCGGTAAAAACAAATTATTCGGCTTTATATATGTCGTGTTATCCATATACTACGAACATCATCTTTGGTGGTTACTCATACTATGGGCGTTATCAGGGCTCAAATAAAGTATTCAGTGCTCAATACACAATTTAATCAGGGAAGTCACAATGTTATAAACTTGAAACGGTAATTCTAATGATTTAGAGCTAGCGGGTTCACAGTCACCGATCATCGACTTCCAACTACAATATTAAACATAACTCTTTATGATCCACAATGATCAACCAACGTTACTAAGCCGCGTCTCTGCTAAGAATGTCGTGATGGCGTCTCGACCCCGCTCGAGACTAAATCTCTGCTCTAAATTCAAAATCAATTTAAAAGCAATAAAAAGTAAATTAAAGAACATAGTGACTTTAAACAATAATAAGGTTTCATAACAGAAAAAGGTAACTAAATCCTCCTCCGTCTTATATATATATATATATATATATATATATATATATATATATATATATATATATATATATATAATATAAAATTGTTTAGAAATAAAAATCAACAAATATTGTAAGGTACTTTAGTGCCATTTTTGAATTTTTGAAATCATTTTTGTAAAATAGTGCGTACGCACTGTCTGTAACAAGTATATGTGTTTGAGATGTCTATAATCTTAGTCTCTCCCGTGAACATGATTGCTGTAAAGCATTCGAAACGTCGGGAACCAAAAATCAAAATAAATCCGCGAAATAATCCGAAAAGATAGTTTTATTTAAAATATCAAATATTCACGTAAATCTAAGAAATTATAATGTATTTGAAGTTATATATGTGTAGTGTATCAACTATCTGGTATCCATAACACAAGCCACCACATATTTATTTAATAATATTTTGCTAACCGAAAAAAATATATTAAAATGTTTGTAAAACATTAACTTTAAAAATCAGGCAAGTGCAAGTAGACTCCTGCACCGAGGATTCCATACAGCTAAAAAATACTGTTTTGTTTTTACTTACGTATTTAACGTAATAACCTTACGTTAAGATAAAATATCAACGAATTCTATCGATCGGAAACGTTCGTTCGTGTTTCATACTATTTCTTTAACATATTATGGAAAACAAAGTTAATTTGATGCTAAATTAACAAAGCGGGTAGCTGAAAATTTTTCATAATTCAATAACTACTAGATGTACCTATATTCTGCGAACAAATTTTTGTTGAAATTATATTGGAGTTTTTCCTCAAAATGTTCAGATTTTTAGACAGCAATTTTTAAAGGTAGAGGAGGAAGGTGATCGGTTACAATACAATGTGTGTGTCATATAACTCGGGTAATTTGGTTTCTAATACAAACATAACATAAATAAATAATATTTAAAAATACACTGTTACGTGTACCCGAAACTCTCATTCGATTTTTATGTTTGAAGATCAGACAAAAATTTACAAACATTTCATTTGAAAATTATTTCGGTCGGCAATGTCATAAACAGATAGCGACCCATCCTCACTTTATGAAAAATTACTACTAAGAACAATTTGCACTATGTAGCTTTAATAAACAGCTAAATATTACTTCATCAATAGTTATGTATTAGTAAATAAATATTACAATTTGTTCAGTAGTTTCAGAGAAAAACCTCTTTAAATTTAGCAAAAAAACTACGAGTAGAGCAAAATCATTATTTAAATTTAACTTAACTAAGAAAGTTTATTAAACAATAAATCAAGCACATAGTATAAAGTTAAGAATATAAAGTAAGAAATAAAGCTAAAGGAAATCCTGCTCTGACTCTGAAACGTTAAGAACATGCTAATGCAACACTATCGTTTATTATTTGCTTTTTCTGCTACGTGTCAAGTTCCGGTCGCAATGCAGGCTTTAATTAATGTAAATATTTTCATTATAAATAAATTAATTAGAGATGAAATCATTTGTATTTTTTAGTACCTAATCATTTTAAGTGAACCAAAATATATTTACCTATGTGTTTTATATTTAATACGTATGATGTATGTAGGTACACTGACTTAAGTGACTTATCTACCTGTTATAAATATTAATAATAATTAGATTATATATTACTAGAGTAATATTAAAACAGCAATAGTAATATTTACTTTTATTATAAAGTAGAATTGCATGAGTACATATTAAGCGATAAAATATTAGGTAAAGAGTCCATATTATAGGTAAAGAATCAATGTAAGAACATTTTATTTTATAAGATGTTACACGTAGGGTACTACGATTCTTTCATACAATCTTTTGGTTAGAGATTAATAAGGTTCGTTTCGGAACTCACAAAAGTCGATAGTAGTGTTAATAAATGGCCGCAATTTCGTGTCGAACTCTCGCCAGGAACAAACGCCCTCTTCACATATCGATCTCATTGGTTCTTCGTTTAAGTAGAACACAACGTTGTAGTCCTCTGAGCCGTCCATTACACATCTGTAAACAATATGAAGGAATATCAATCAAATATATTCGGCCGAATTCGTTGTAGACTGCGTATTTTTTTCTTTTTGAACAAAAACTTTCTTGGCTCCAGTCTGGTATTGTTAAAATAATTATTTTCTCTAACTTTTACAATTTGTTAGCCTTTCATTGGCAGATTGAGTTTAAATTGTGTATCTTTTAAATAATATGCCTACATGTATAATATTTTTTTGGACATTTAACTCTAATATTTAAACACCAATGTATTAGTATATACTAGCAGCTTACCCTCGTTTCGCTTCGGGTTAGTCCATAAATAAAAAAAATCTATCCCTCGGGAATCGTACATTTTTCGGGATAAAAAGTAACCTATGTGTTATTCCAGACTGTAATCTATCTCTATGCCAAGTTTCATCTAGATCCGTTCAGCCGTTCTGGCGTGAAAGAATAGCAAACATCCATCCATCCTCATAAACTTTCACGTGTATAATATTGTATAGATTATAATAGTTACACTCTTGGAGAAATCGAATCAGTTAACTCCCATGTAGCTATTATATACATATTACTTATATGTATATAATATATATGTACAAGTTTCGACTTTCGATTACTCATAGCTATATCAGTAATCGAAATAAAATAAACACTATTTATTTAAATAGTACGAAGTTATTATAATGACTTAAAATAGAAATAAAAAAAAAAATTATTTCATCTTAAAAGTAAATAAAAAAATCCACAAAAAGCAGCGGATTGGCGTCAGTGAATATATGTAGGACCAAATTCGTTTATAAATAGTAGTTACTTATTTAGCAAGCAAACATAAAATACCATACAATATAATTTTAAAAACTGATTTGTTTTAAAAGTAGAGGATAAACAGTAATAGAAAAAAGTACGCACCGATTTAAAACAGCTATTAAATTTGCAGAAAAGGCCGTTATCTTGCTTGTTCTCCATTTTCTTTCCCGGTCCCTGTTGGCACCGGTTAAAGGTTGGTTGTCTTTGAATAGTCCTAGCGCAGTGTATATCTGAGCCAACATGGTCGCATGAGTGAAGTAAGCGATCATTTTTTTCCCTTTGCCTTTCTTAACATCATCGAAACTTTGAAGCAAATTTGCTAACGGAACCCTACCGAAAATTTCATTTACCGGTGTGCCGTAACCATCCTTATAGTAATGCTTTAAATCTTGTATATATTCGAGAACTTCTAAATCATCCTTAGTAAAAAGTGCACACCAGGGACTAACTTTATTGTCAATAGCGGGCCATGTGCTACGACATAGATTATATAAAGCTGTAATGTTTTTGTCGCTGAGGATATAGTCTATTCCACTTCTACGTTGTACTCTGTCTTTTGTCTGAAACAAACAAACATAAAGGAAAACATAATTTAGAACTCTGTTTCTATAAATATTTATGTAAACTAAAACATATAATGATGATGATGATGTTCTCCTAGCCGATTCCGGCCACGGCGGCCAATCTCAATGAGATTAGCCAACTGCGCAGGAGATATTATAGTGCACAAGTGTACGCGTAGACACAAGTGCACTCTCTATTCCTATCACTCTCATACTCCGGTGGGACGACCACTCGACACAACCGGAAGGCGCAGGACCGACGGCTTTACGTGCTCTCCGAGGCACGGGGGTGAAACACCGCCAACTTCCCAATTCCGGGCAGTTACTGAGACTTATTATACAGGAAGACTCTACTTAATAACTAAACTTGGCCCGACCCGGGACTCGAACCCAGGACCTCCGGGTGTGCAGCCGTACATGCTAGCCACTACACCACCGAGGCAGTTGAAACATGTAATACTAAACAGTTGTTAATGTATTTATAAGAGTAGTTAGTATATTTGTTTTATTTCTTACCGCAAGGTAGTCCGATGTACTTAAGTATTTATTAACTTCAGGGTGATTATTTTGATGTATTTGTACATTTTGTTGGTATGATCCACATGTCGCATATGGCTAAAATAAAAAATAACATTAACCACACACATTTAACTAAAAATACAGTAAGTACCAACTAATAAATTATATTGAAATGTAAGATCTTTAAAAGCTATATTAAGTTTATATTGATAGAGAGGCCAATAGACATTTTCAGTCAAACCTACATAGCATGGTACTTTTTATCTTAAGAAATGTAAAGATCGGAATGATAAGATATAATGTTGTTTTATGATTAGGTTTTTTAGCAGAGCCGGTAGAGATGCCTGAAACGGAGAAGGGATGGGTCAACCTAAGTATTTAATAGGATATTATCCTTACTACTCACATTCATGATATCTGAATCGGTTTTAGCTTTCTCAATAACAAAATTATTATTTCCAAAGCCCTTAGCGAAGTGTGTAGCGCTGTTTTCAATCCAAAGTCCTCGAGCTGGCCGCAAAGTATAGCTGCCATTTTGAAGACTATTCAATAAATCGGGGAATGCTTCCTTTAAACGTTTGCTGAGACCTATCATTTCCTCGCGACCTTCTTCAGTGATATCTTGTTTACCATTAAAAAAACTTTCATTGAATTCCCAGTTTCGCAAATTTTCTATGTCTTGAGCACAAAGAGAGCTGCGACCTTTTTTGTAGCTAGATACTACATGATTTCTAATGGCTATTGCGTCTTTCATCATATTGCTGTAATAAGCACTTGGCTTTCGTATCCCGTGCCGGTACATGCCCCATATACTCACTGGCTCACATCCTACGGTTTGTTAATAATTATATATGTATATGCATATATGCATGTATAATTTCGATTTGCAGATAAGGTTTACAAAAAAACGAATTAAAAAGATGGGAATATAGTATAGTATGTGTCTCGAAGATTCCATTCCCTTAGTTTCATGAAAATCAAAAGATTATTCTAGAAATTAAAAATAAAAAACCATAAAAACGTTAAAAACCCAGTTTTAAGCAAAGATCTCGAAAACTTAGAGGTTACTGTAAAAAGTGATATTTATAAAAGTTGTAGAATTTTACTAGACCTACTATTTTTGGGGAAAACATTTTTCAATAGAACGTCACAGTAAACCAGAAATTGAAAAAAAATTTTTTTTTCAACTCTTTGCGTACCTCCATTTTTCGGAAGTAGCTGGGCATCGGGGGCATTTTATGAATTTCTATTCTTTATATACCTGCTAACATTTTAAAATCATAAAACTTCAGTTTTTCAATATTTTGTTCACGCTTTGGTAAACCGGATTCCGATTGGACTAAATCACTTAAGTTCAGTTTTAAATGTTTAAAAATTGTTTGTTTTTTAAAAATATCATTAAATTCATTTAAAATTAAATTAAAAATCTTTGAATATACATTATCTTGGTCTTCATCTATTAAATCTATATTTAGGACTTTGAACAACGTTTCTCTTGAGGCAAATTATTTTATTAATTAGTGTCATAGGTCTGCAGATTATCCTTTCTGACTTTTCAATATTATAAGCAATTATTTTTTTTTATTATAGTTATCTAAACTTGAATTATTAATTATTGATTTTTCTAAAATATCACAGTGACAGAACACATCGTCTATACAAGTTGCAGAGCCGCTGGTAATACGTGTAGTTTCGGAAAAAGCATTAACAGATCAAAATACTTGAACAAATTATGTAAGCGTACACTAAAAGAAGCTACCTATAATATATGTACATATCTACAATTGCGAAGGAACATAGGAAAACTGAACCTCGTTTGGGATTTGCCACAATCGGGTAAAAATAGCACTTACCTATTAATTTTACAATAGAATCTCTAATATCTCCTCGCACCGAGTTATAAGGAGTCTTCGTCGATAAATATTTGTAAGGGCATCCAGTATTCCAATAACAATGAGATGACTGCACTATATTAATAAAGAAACAAAGAAACACTATTCGCAAAAACGTTTTCATCTTTATAAAATTGTATGCTTAAAAATTAAATTTTATGATAGTGCCTTGTACCTATCGAAATTAGAAATGAACTAAAATGAAGCAGTCGAATGCATACATTAATGTATGTATCTAATTTGAGATCATCGTAACAGGTTCCGAAAAAAGAACAAAAATCTTTATGTGGGAGTAATAAAATCATTTCAAGTGATAACGACATGAGCACAAAAGATGTTATTTTTAAAATGATGACGATTAAAATGGACATCAACTTTGTTAACATAAAATTTCATTACGAAGCTATACTGTTAATGTGAATGTGAATTTGATTTACGTAATAAATACAGGCATATAGAATTATTATATAAATTATAGCGAAATGCAAATGAAATAAAACGTATAATTTACTATCAAATTCTATTTATTTTAGGTAACATTTTGATGAAAAGTTTATATATTGTAAATAAACTACTAAAGTTATATTTTGAAAATAATTTTATACTATAGCTGAATAAATAATACCATTTGTTATGCAACGATACATTGAATTTAACTATTTCATTTTCCTTTTCTTAATTTTTTTTTATTTAATTGAATTTTACAAAAAAACACTAATTTTGACAATATAAATTATTAATTACATAAAATTTATATAACATAGGACGGGTTTTAAAATATTAATACAAAATTAGTTTTATGTTAGGAAGGTTTTTAGTTTTAAATGATTCATTGATCATTATTTTCTATTTAATAAAAGGTGTAGAAATATAATCATTAGCTTGTGATAATTAATCGTTTAACAACAAATACAACACTGCATTTACACGTTACCATTTAATCACATTAAAATTTAAAACACATTAGGCTGTCATATACACGTAGTGCATAGCGATGCAGGAATCTCAGATATTCCCAGACGTATTGTGCGCTGAACTATGAAATAGCCTGAGATGAATATATCCGACTTTATAAAATAAAATAAATATATTTTTGCATAATATTAAAAAATGATGCAAATTGTTGTCTCCCCATTTATTTGTATAGCATTCCATGTAAGTGTAAAGAAAGCTTAAAGATTAGGTATATATAATATTATGTATGTCAGATATAGGTAATATCATATTAGTAATGCTGGTAATTAAAACAATATGAATATTTACTATTTCTATATATTCATATGTATTAAATTGTTTTTAAAATATTTACATTAATTATGTTCAATTGCACTGATAAAATCGACGGCAGCTAAAATGTTTTAGATACAATGTATAGCGAAGAGTGCATTTTTAAATACACGTATATCCAGTTCAAGCGTCGCAAAATGACAAAGTAGTATTCTGAAAAGGCTTTAATTTATTTTCAAACTCCTGCCATGAACACACCCCTTTCTCGCATATCGATGTTACTGGTTCTTCATTCAAGTAAAACACAACTTTGAAATGTTCTTTGTTTTCTTGTAAACATCTGCAATAGGTATATGATTTCTTAAACATTTGTTCTTAAGTGAATTTATAGGATTATTATGTTACAAAAAATAAAGTAAATTTTATAAAACATACAAATTACAAATTAAAATGTTGGTCTAAGATTTTAAAACAGCCCCCATATTATTTGCTTGTTATTAAAGCACAAATGACGTTAAAAAAACCCCCTCTGTTTGTACATGCTTATCCATGACTCTGGAACGACATAGATAATTAATTATAACAAGATTCACAAGATTCCACAGTAGTTATAGTCGGTCAGAAATACATAGGTTATTTTGTAATTTTGGAGTTCCAGGGGGATAAGGATAAAAGTTTTATAAAATTTTGGCATGAATTTTTAAGTAATTGTTTAAGGGTAGAAACGATGGCAGGTAGATTTGCTAGTAGGTAAAAATTATATATGAGGAAAAGATTGTTTTATATTTATCGTAAGCCGAAGTAGCGACGTATAACAAATAATACAAAACAAGATAAAAATCTTCATCTATCTATACATATAATAAAATTGTAACTAAGCCGAATCTGTACATTATTTTTTTTTTTTGGAAAAAATATACATTATTATCGATACAGAGGCCAAATCTATAGTTTTTAGAATTTTTGTCTGTCTGTCTGTTACCGCATCACAGAAAAACAATTGGAGGGATTTTAATGATATTTGGTATGGTGATAGCTGGTTATCCGGGTCAACATTCTCAGAAATGAGATATTTTCCCGCGGTAAAAATATCCTATATATTTTTACCGCGGGAAAATATCTCATTTCTGAGAAAAAATACATAAACTGCAATGTAACAGTATACTAATATGTAATACCTAAGAATTTGATTGTTGATGCTCTGAACGCAGGCGGAGCCGCGAGCAATGCTAGTCGATCATAAATTGAATGAGTTTTCTTAATTTGCGACATTTTTTAGGATAAAACGAACAGTTTTTGGATAAATCAAAAAATCTAAATATGTTGGTTTCTGGGCTAAAATTAACAGCATGCATTTCATGATACTACGAAAAAATTATATAGTACTACTAGCCAGTAGCCACTAACCCCTCCTTAACCCGTAGGGATCCCTAGGTGCCTTACAGAAGGCTATGCCTTACCCCAGGTCAAACACTATCGTGTGCTAAATTTCATACAAATTCGTCCTGCTTTAGCGTGAAGAAGTAACAAACATACATATAAAATGTCACCAATTCGCGTAAATCTCGTAAGTAGGTATTATAAAAGAAAGTTAGAAAAGCTTACAAATAAGGAAAAACTACTAAATTTACGCACCTATGTAAAACTGCAATTAAATTGCCTGCAAATACTGATAGTTTACTCGATCTCCATTTCCTGTTCGGATCTCTAAACGCACTTGTTAAGGGCATTTTGTCATTATACCAGCCTAAAGCTGTATACGCCATGTCCATCACAGTAGCGTGAGTGAAGTACGCTGTCAATTTTTTGACTTCCCCCTTTTTAGCGTTGCTAAAAATTTGGTATAGATCTGCCAATACGACTTGACCAAAGTAATGATTTATTGAACTGCCAGGTCCGTTTCGATAGTAATGGCGTAAATCTCCATGGTACTCCATCACCTTCAGATCTTCTAACGAGAATAGGGCACACCAAGGACTCTCTTTATTATCGATTCCCGACCACGTATAACGACATAAATCGTATAAAGCTATTATTTGTGCATTTGTAAGGTTGTAGTCAACACCAATTTTTTTCTGTATTCGTTCTTTGGCCTAAAATATCATTTGAATTTTTAGTAAAGGGTTTAAATTCATTTTTTAATAATGTTAAAAATAAAATCAAATAGCAGAACCCACGGCTTCGCTTGCGCTAAAACTACAATAATATCTCTAAAAAAATGCTAAACATGTATTTATTTAATTTTATTGAAGAGCATTAATACCAAGTTTGATATATAATATATATATACGGTCATTGCAAAGCAAACTTTAAGGAGGAATGCTCTATAATCACTATAATCTACACGACGCTGGAGAGAAGATATTCTCGAAAAAAATAATGACATCAAAATTTAACGCTCTGCCGAATTCGAATTTTCCTTGACCTTTAGTGGCGAACGCCTCATTTTATGTTTTCAATGACTGGATTATAGTTCTTGCGAATTTTTCGTATAGTAGTATATTATGAAGACGATTTAAACCCTTCTTTGTAACAAAAAAACTTACTGCGATGTATTCTTCTGAGCTCTGGTATTTATTGGCTTCGTTATACGTAGCTGAATTGTTTTTGACCTCCTTCATATATTTATTACAAGACTCATGAGGCTAAAATTAAAAATAAATAACTTAAGCAAAATGTATGTAATACCATTAAAATTCTTTATATCTAGATTAGCTTCTAAGCTTGATTCCCCATACAAACTTTCATCCCCATTTTCATCCCCTTAAGGGATGATTTCGGGAATAAAAAGTATCTTTTATCCTTCCCAAAGTCTCAAACTATCTTCTTACCGAATTTCATCTAAATCGGTTCTGTAGACCCAGAGATTACCCCCTACAACGTCACAAACTCAGAATCTCTCAAACTCACAAACTTTACCTCTTTATAATATTAGTATAGATACATACATAATTATTAAACATAAGGTTTTTTTTATAAAACTAACGAAACTGCTACAAAACAAACATTAATTAAGTCATGTAAAATAAACGTAAAAGTTAGCAATTTATACGTACTGCGATAATATCGTAATGTGGGTTGGAATTTTCCACTAACAAAGGCTTATCCGACATGCCTTTAACAAAACTTTCAACACCATCCTCGACCCAATGTCCGAAAGCTGATCTTATTATATAGCTGCCGTCTTCTAGATTCATTAGTAATTCTTTAAATGCCTTTTTTATCCTTCTGGCTATACCGAATACTTCTAAATACCCCTCTTTACTAAGACTGTGGGTATTGTTAAATAGTTCAGGGTCGGGTTTCCAATTGTATAAATTTTCTACATCTTGAGCGCAGAGATCACTTTCTCCTTTTTCATGGCTTATTGCAATAACATCTTTTAAAGTTATCGCTTCCATCATATTACCAGCGTAATCGGTACCCGGCGTTCGCTTCCCATGTCTTATAAGTGACCATACACTTATTGGCTCACATCCTATTAAAATAATTTATTCCATTAATCAAGGTTGTGAATATATTTATGACTCAATTACGCATAAACCATTGAAATTATTTGGATTACCATTGGCACAGAGCATATGTTATCCCATATTATGTAAAGGTTATTCAGGTACTAGGATCTCGTGAGGTATATATCTATAAGGTATGATATGATATCTATGAGGTAAATCTTTAACTTTAATTTTATTTGAGAGCATATTACTTCTGCACCAATAAGAAAATATTTTAATGCGACTTAGGTCGCGGGTGTAATAAAAATTTAATGCCCCAACGATGCCATAGTGAAGCGCAGAGGGAGTTTTATCTAACAAATCGGCGATGGGTTTTAGAAACCGTACGCGTATTTATTGTTAAGAGCGAAGAGTGATTTGAAAATACTGATGCGTTACGTGTATTGAGAAATTGTCCTAAGCCGACATTATTTTCGATATTAACATACAGCACCATCTAGTTCCATGGTAAGCTACGAGGCATGTATTATGGATACCAGATAGTTGATACACTACACATATATAACTTTAAATTCATACATATTATAAATATAACCATGACTGGAGTACAAACATTCATGATCATCACTCAAATGAATGCCTCCAGCGGGACTCGAACCTGCGATCGCTGACACAGCAAATAAGGTCACTACAAACTGAGCCAAACGTGTCGTCGAGAGATAATCTTGTACAAATGAAATAAAGTCTTTATAAGAAGGTAATTCTTTCCCACTCACACAATTTTCGAACTGTTCTCTGTTTGGAAATCGATTTTTCTTAAACCACAATTTAATAGGACAAAGTCTAACAGCTCGGGCATGTCTAACTGTTTAAATGCAGCGACAGACACGGAATATTTTTCTATGTATGTTACAATCAAACTAACAGCATTACCTATGCAACTTTTAATGTGCAGAATGTTATTGAGAAAATGAATACCTAAAAATATTTTTTATGTTTTGTCGGTTCATAATTAAAGCGTGTTTTCTAATTTTTTTTAACTATAATTTATTTTCCATTTTTTAGTTCTGATCTGATGATATAAACGCGTATTTATTTTAGTTTTTTAAAGTATTATTTAATTAATTATTGTATTGTGATCGGTCTTTGTAAAATGTGCAAAGTTTCAGTTCAATCTGAAGTTTTGTAGTGGATGAAAATCGCGTTCAAAGATTCCGTTACATAGATAGATAAATAGATAGATACAGGGAAAGCGTGTTAAAAAAACATTCTAGATATTCATTGGTGCCGATATTTTTTTATCTAGAGTACAAGCGCCTTTACAATCTCTAGAAGATTTGCTACCTCTATCCAAAAAATCGCACTTATATATGTTACTTTTATGTTATTTCCTCAAAAATATTTCTATTTTTATCTACAAAAATATTTGTGTACAACATAATTTTACCCATCACTATAGATTCGCATACCAAAACTCAAACTCTTTCATTTTTATTAAACCTCGCCCCCCCTGACATACCACCATTCGTCTTTGAAACAGTCTCAGTAGATGATATAAAGAAGTGTGTCCGCTCTATTTCCACAAAAGCCATTGGTAGTGACGACCTCAGCCGCGACATGATTCTTCCAGTACTGGAAGATATTGCACCTGTGATCACTCACATTCTAAACTTCTCATTCACACGCAATGTCTTCCCGTCTTTATGGAAAAAAGCTTTCGTCATACCCCTACCTAAATCCCCGAATCCTAAGTATCTCACTCAATACCGTCCTATATCAATACTTCCTATCCTATCCAAAGTCATAGAATCATTGGCACACAATCAACTTTACTCCTATCTATCTCACAATAACCTCTTATGTCCCTATCAATCCGGTTTCCGCTCCTCCCATAGTACAGTTGGTGCACTGCTGAATATCACAGAGGATATTCGTGGTGCTATGGATAAAACCAAGCTCACTGTGATGGTTTTACTTGATTTTAGCAGCGCTTTCAGCTCTGTGGATCTCGACATCCTTATGGGAACTCTTCGTGCGGTCAACATTTCTAGTACTGTTATAGACTGGTTTCACTCTTATCTCTTCGGACGCCAGCAGTGCGTGAAGACCAACGATGCATCATCGGATTGGCTAGATCTTACTGCTGGTGTACCTCAAGGCGGCGTACTTTCTCCCTTACTTTTTTCAATATTTATTAATAACATATCAAAAGTCATTTCTTCTCCCTTCCATCTGTATGCAGATGACTTACAATTATATCGACATTGTGAGCTGACCGAGTTACATGAAGCTATTGATGCATTGAACTCGGATCTTGTCCGGGTCCAAACGTGGGCAGAGTCTTTTGGCCTCCTTGTGAATCCCTGCAAGTCACAATCCATAATTTTTGGCAGTAGTCGACTGAGGTGCAAAATCGATTGGACCTCGACACCTACAGTCCAGTTCTCGGGTGTTCCAATCCCGTACTGTAATAAAGTAAAAAACTTGGGCTTAATTATGGATTGTAACATGACTTGGGCGGCTCATGTCAACGAGGTCAGCAAACGAATACATTAATACTCTTCACTCTCTCAAGCGTCTCCAATTCTTCCTCCCTTTCACAACCAAGATTATGCTTGCTCAGTCCCTTCTTCTCCCCATACTCGACTACGCTGATGTGTGCTATTTAGGTGTGACTGAGGAGCAACTCAACAAATTAGAGCGTCTTCAAAATCTCGCTATTCGTTTTATTTTTGGCTTGCGTAAGCATGACCATATATCAAACTTTCGTGCTCAACTTAAATGGCTCCCAATCCGCCTTCGCCGTGATATGCATATCCTTTCATTCCTCTTCAATATTCTTAATGATCCCAATTCTCCTTCATACCTTCGTTCTCGCTTCCAAATTCTCCCTACTCCTACTCGTTCCAGGCGGCCTTGCATTACTGCGATGCTTGACATACCCAAGAGCAACACTAAGTTCTCTCTACAATCTTTTTCGGTGTATGCCGCATTGCTCTGGAACAAACTTCCGAAAGACATCCAATTAAGCCCCTCTATAACTGCCTTTAAAAAGAAAATAAAACAGCACTTTCTCACCCAAGTTATTCCACAATAATTATATTAACTACTATTATTATGCATTATATTATATAGATATGTATTTGTGTATGTAGTAGTATGTACATATATTTATGTATATAATATGTATAATGTTTTGTTATATGTATATATAATATATATTTATTTAAGTATTTACATTTGAGTTACTGCACTTTAGCCTGCATTTTAATACTATCTTTCTAACTCACTTAGGTTGACTGGAAGAGATCTCTTCTAGAGATAAGTCCACCTTTGCTAACTAATTTTATTTTTTGTTACTCTCTGTATTTTACATATAAGTGCAATAAAGAATAGTATATAATTTTATGCATCAACCTTACCTTTTAGTTTTATCAAAGAATCTCTTATGTCACCCCGCTCATTATTATAAGGAGTTTTACTTGAGAAGCTTGTATAATGATTTTTAGAATTCCAAAAACAGTTTTTCGACGTCACTAACGTAACAAAGTAGAAAAAAGTAAGCAACATAAAATTTATTTTCACATACATTATTAAATTTATTGGTACGCTATTAAAAAATATATAATTATTAAAAACAACACTATATAATACAATTTTCGTTTCTATATTTAAATAAAAAGAAATATAATATGTGCTCTCTTTTTGAAGCTATGGTCTAAACTGAATAGAATACTACTAAGCGCTTAATGAAGCATACTAATGAATAATTTATAACGCTTAAGCCAGAACGAAAACAGTTCACCAATTAGATTAAAATTAAATGTAACAATGATATGGAATCATTATTTTGCTTTATATATAATGACGAATGAAATAATAATGAATCTATACTAATATTATACATGATAAAGTATGGATGTATGTTTGTTACACTTTCACGCCAGAACGGCTGAACGGATCTGGATGAAATTTGGCACAAAGATAGATTATAGTCTGGAATAACACATATGCTACTTTTTATCCGGGAAAAATGTACGGTTACCGTGAGATAGGTTTTGTCTGTCTTGTCTTTGCTAGTAAATAATAAATAATAATTCGATATTTGACACCTGAATTAAAAGAAATTAAATCTGAAATGAATTAATTAATCTGAAATGATTTTTTTAATCTGATATGAATTTATACGACTTTTTAAAATAAAATAATGAATATTTTTTTGCATAATGGTTAAACTTAAAAACTTGATATGGAAAAAAATGGTTAAATCGAATAAAATTATACTAAAAGTAAGTACCACAATATCTTTAAAAAAATTCATGTGTATATGTCATCATAGTTTCCCATACATCATATCAGTAATTTTGGTAATTAAAACATATGAATATTTCTTATTTTTATATTTTCATAAGTACATGTAAAACTGTTTATTTCGGGCCGGAAGTACAATTGTAAGTATATGTTGTATGTTACTCCCAAATTTATAAAATAAATCCGCGAGCTTAATCAGTTCAAGTGAAAAAAGTTTCAAAATGTTTCAGTAAAATGTTGAAAGAAATCAATGAATAAAATACACAAAACCAGAAGCACGTGAAGTAAAAAAAACAACCTAACTGCATAATATCAACAATTTACTATGCTACTTCTACGAATATTTATTCGTAGTGCTACTTGCAATGTTGCGGTTTTTTTTTCTTTTTTTTTCTTTATTGGCTTATAGTTGCGTTAACAGACGCAATCCATTCTGCCAGTGTCACGTTTTGTGAGGAAGACACGAATGAGATTTAGCGGTAATTTTATTTCAATTTGGCAATACTAACTGTCAAAACACAAAGATAAACATTGCCACAGATTAAATTAGAAGTACATTGCCTGCTAGTTTTCGAAGTACATTGCGTTCTTTGGCGTTCCAAACGAGTTATATTCCAATTCACGCAATGTCTAGTCGACTGTCAAAAGAGGTGTTTGTACTATGTAGTAGGTATTTTATTACCATATGATCGTTTAACGAGAATAAGGCACACCAAGGACTCTCTTTATTATCGATTCCCGGCCACTTATGATGAAATAAATCGTATAAAACTAATACACAAGTATTTGTAAGGTTGTAGTCAACACCTATTTTTTTCCTCATTTGTTGCTGCAATGTAATTTGAATTTTTGGTAAAGGATTTGAGTTCCAATTTTAAGAGGAAATTGTAGAAAGTGAATACATATTGTGACATAGGTGTATAGACAATAATATATTTAATTGAGTATTATACCATATTTTTATATTATACCATGTATTTATTATGTACTTATACCATAGTTTTAGTTTTGTAGTGTATTATCAAGGTGATTTTAACCCTCGTTGTAAAAAAAGTACAGCGATATATTCTTCTGAGCTTTCGTATTTCCTGGCTTCGTCATACGAAGCTCGATTGGTATTTATATATTTTTTGCAAGATAAGTAAGACTAAAATAAAAAAAAATAAGAAAAACTACTTTAAAACTTTTAAATATAATGTTATAACATTAATAAATAAATTAAAAGTCGTTCAAAATTTATACGTACTGCAACAAGATCATAATTTGCGTTGGAATTTTTCACTAACAACGGCTTATCCGACAAAGTTTTGTTAAAGGCGTTAACAAAACTTTCCACAGCATCTTCGATCCAATATCCGAAAGCTGATCTTATTATATAACTGCCAGCTTCTAGATCCATTAGTAATTTCTTAAATGCCTCTTTTATCCTTCTACCTATACTGAATACTTCTTAATACCTTTATTAAAACTGTGGGTATTGTTAAATAACTGTGTCAGGTTTCAAATTGTATAATTTTTTTACATCTTGAACGTAGAGATCACTTTTTCCTTTTTCATGGCATATTGCAATAATATCTTTAAAAGTTAGCGCTTTTTAATCATATAACGAATGCCCGCACCCGGCGTACCCAGCGTTCGCTTTCTACGTCTTATAAGTGACCATACAACATCGTATTAAAATAATTTATTCCATTAATCAAGTTTGTGAATATATTTTTGACTTAATTACGCATAAAACATTGAAACTATTTGAATTACCATTAGCACACACCACACCATACCCTGAGCACTATTCTAGACCAATATAGTATATACATATATTTATATATGTATTGGTATATATACGAGTATGTGTACATACACATAGAGATTATCTTGGTAGTCTTAAGCTAAAGTAGGTACTTAAGCTTTAATGTTTTTTAAGACACTTATAAGAGTATGTTAATTTTGCATAAATAAGAACATTGTTATAAAAAACTTTGTGTTTTAATGATGCCATAATGTTGAAGCCCAAAGGAATTTTAATTAACAAATCGGGGAAAGGTTTTAGAAACCCTACTCGTATTTATTTTGACGACGCGTTTGGCTCCCTTTGAAGTGACCCTACTTGCTGTGCCAACGGTCGCGGGTTCAAGTTCCGCTGGGGGCATTCATTTGTGTGATGAGCACGAATGTTTTTACTCCAGTCATGGGTGTTTATATTTATTTATAATATGTGTGTATTTAAAGTAAATATATGCCTCATATACCTGCTAACGTTTTAAAATCATAAAACTTCAGATTTTCAATATATATTTTTTCTCTTAAAAATAAACGGATTCCAATTGGTCTATAATACGGATGTCTACGTTATGTCGTGCGCTCATTTAGCCAACCTCAAGGACAAAAAGTAATGACAGGGTAATGACAGATTAATGAAAAAGTTAGCTGAGTAAGATAATACGTTGCTAATTCGAAAGCTCAAAGCAATGTGAAATTTCAACATATGTATGTCACGTCGAATAATTGTTTTTCGACGCATTCTCCATAGAAAATGGGAAATCATTCAATAAGCACTTCCACATGGCATCAGTACAATGATTTTTAAAAACTATTCAACATATACAAACGCAAAATATAACAATATAAATTTAGAGTGAGCAATTTTTAATAATCTTAATTTTATTAAGAACTTTTATTTTTCGTTTCGTTTATTTATTATTACATAAAAATATCTAAAAAAGGTATAAAGAAATTAATATTTTTTATTGTTATTTTTAAGGATATGATTTTCTAAATATGTTATTTGACAAGCTTAAAATACTTTGATAAAAATTAGAGATTATAGAGAATATTGTATGTATTATATTGTAATTTTCTTTTCGCAACAAAAAAATGTGTTTTACACATACTTTTAATAAATACCTATTTAAATAAACATTACTAAACTTAAATTATATTATCATTTTAGTAGTTGTGTGACAGTAATATTATATGATAGATGGGGATTAAATATTATGTATATGATATTTTAATGTTATTTTTGTACAAGTATATTTTATGTATCGACCTTACCTTTTAGTTTTATTAAAGAGTCTCTTATGTCACCCCTCTCATTATTATATGGAGTTTTACTTGAGAAGCTTTTATAATAGTTCTTAGAATTCCAATAACAACTATTAGATGTCACGTACGTTAAAAAGTAGAAAAAAGTAAGCAATATAAAATTTATTGTTAAATACATTATTAAATTTATTGATACACTATAACAATATTGTATAATAATTAAAAACGACACTGTATATTTTCAATTCCAATATGACATGACACTGTAAATTTTTGTTTCTACATTTAAATAAAAAATATGTATTAATATTTGTGCACTCTTTTGGAAGCTTTGGCCTATACTGAATAGAATACTGCTAATGCGTTTAATTAAGCAAACTGATGAATAATTTATAATAATAAAACCAGAATAAAAATAGTTAACCAATGATATTGAAAATAATATAATAAGGAAATATCATCATTATTTTATTATTATTGGCAATGACGCATGAAATAATCTATACTATAATAAAACTGTAGAGGTCGAATGTCTGTAAATAGAAAAAAAATGCTAAAAACCGAGTCAGGAGGATGTAAGAAGAGAAATAGAACAAATCCAGATTTTTTTCATTTTTTTTGTTTCTCTGTCTGTCTGTTTGTACGGGCTAATCTTCGAAACTATTGGACCGATTTAAATGAAATTTTGCATGGTGATACCTTATATCCCCGGTTAACATCTGAGATACTTTTTATCCCGGAAAATTAAAGAGTTCTCGTGGGATAGTTAAAAAGAGTAGTACCTGGGCCACCGAGCTTTACTCGGAATTTTTGGTACAAAGTACAATTTTCGTTAAAAAAAACTAAAAACTTGAATAAATAAAAAAAGAACAAAAATAAATTATACCTTTGAATCCGACCGGGATTCGAACTTGGACACCTATAATTGTCAATCATGCGTCTTGGCCACTTGACCATGACGCTTACGCCGTAACGTATATTTTTGCGTGGAATAATGCGAAAGAAAACCGCACGAAAATTCTAAAACACGCGTTTTCCCAGACATAAGACTAATCTAGATCGATTTATCGCACCCTAAACCCGTTGCATACTAAATTTGATGAAAATCGTTGGAGCCGTTTCCGAGATTCAGATTATATATTGATATATAAATATATATACAAGAATTGCTCGTTTAAATATATTAGATGTAGTAACTTATACAGCTTAGTAAACCAAAACCAATCAATAGGATTGGATTTTAATGAAACTTTACAATATTATAGTTCATACATCACAATAACAAATAGGCTTTTTTATGGCGGAAAAATGTACGGTTCCTGTAGAATAGATTTGTTTTTGTTTGTCTAGAGACGAACCCGAGCGAAGCGAGGGTGAGCCGCTACTTACGAATAAATTATTATTATTTGATATTCGACATCTGAATGTTTTATACTTTATTTAATATTACTATAAAGTACTAGAGCCCAAGAAATATAAAACGTCCCAAGGTTTTATATTTCTTGGGCTCTAGTATTTATTAATAATGTCCTAATATCATCGATCAAAAAAGTACTAGATACACAATCCCAATCTAGTTCAAATAAAGATACAACAATGTAAATTGAACCTTAAAGGCAATATTTAAAGTTGTTTTCACAAAAAATATATATTAAAAGCGCGCTCAAATATTCAAATGAGCGCTCATTCGGTGAGGACATTTTTTGTCGCTGATTGTGTATCTAGCCAGTACTTTTTTGATCGATGCCCAATATTTGAGAATAATGATAAATTAATTAATAAAACAAACAATTTCCCACAAATATTTTATTTTTTCACTATTATCTTATAGCTTTACAATGGAGCACCCCTCGAGAGCACATAATATATATGTTATAAGAGTATTATACTATTTTTATATAATATTATTTATTTTGTCTACAAAAACATTTAGCTAAACACAATCAGATGAAACTGCTGTTTTTGATTTTTGCACGTACCTAAAACATCCCTCAACATCTTCGTAATACTACGTATAATATTGGTAACTAATATATGTATAGTAAATAACATTATTTATTATAAATTACATTTAAAATAAATACAAAAATGTAAGCATTGCTTTATTATCTCAAACACTGCTCCATTAGTAAAATTCATGTAAGTAATTACGTTTATTTGCGTTACATACTTTAGGTATCAATTGTATATGTACATTAATATACACAGAAATAATTATCGATTACACTAAAACTTTAAATATTTCTAATAAAATTGGCGTCTCATGTACATATTTTTTATATTACTAAGATAATAATTTTCTAAATGTTAATGTTTGAAATTATACTTTTACAAACAAATGATATTTGTTAGTTAAAGTATAATTTCAAATTATTTAAAATTACGTAGGTACTTTGCTCATAAAAAGTACTCCAGATTCGCAAAAAAGAAACAACATATACGTAAATATCTCGTGAGTGAGGCACTAACACCACCTAATTTACCCCAAAAATAACCTCCAAAAAAAATTAGAACTTTACGGCCTTATCAATGAATTCATTTGTTTTAAATCATCTAGTTTCTAATTATAAATTTTATTTCTTACTACTTAGAAACTTACACTATGTTTAAAGTATAAGAGAGAAATGCATAAGACTTTAAATATCACTAGATGAATCACATCCAATAGAACTATAAATGATAAAATATTTACCAAACAATCTTATTTTGGTCCAAATTTTTTATAACTTATTTATCGAAAATTAAATATTGACCAATTTTAAATTGTATGAACTCTAAACGCAGCTAATATGCCTAAAACATGTTACTACATAGTAAATAGTGTTATAAGTTAGGAAGAATAAACATTCTGTTGAATAATAATAACATGGTAAACGTTTAAAAATGTGGATGTATAGGGAAAAATATTGCTTATCAATTTTATTAAGGACCATAAAACTACCTAAAATAAGTGGGTAAGGATTTTGGTTAATTTAGATTAAAGAAAGGAAGAGGAAAATCTAAACTAAATTCTAGGGTGCAAATCTAGTTAATTTGTGTATCTTACCTATCTACAGAATGAAAAGTGGCAGTTTTGTTTGCTATTTTATCTTATTTTGATACAACATTTAAAAATTTAACTATACGATATTGATGTAAGAGCACATATAAATTGTTAATGTTTACTTTAGTGATTTCATTTTAGCCATATCATATTAAATCCAACTATCACGCGTCTACTTTTTTAATATTATTATTGAAATAAATTAATGTTATTTTAATTATTTATCATGTGTTAAATTATTACAAGAAAATAATATCAATAATAATTGTACTGGATTAGTTTACAATTTAATTTCTTATTTATAAATGAAACCTATTGTTTATCACTTCCATTCACAATTCACTTTTTATCTATCTATAATATCATTGAATATATACACAAATATTTCCTTCTTAGTAAAACATACTGTCCAGTATGTTTATGTGATGTAAATGTGATTATATCATTACTTCCAAATATTTTAATTATTTTAAAACGCCCTTTATTTATATACTAACACATTGATTCCGCTACAAAAAAAATCTATTGCCATCTAAACTAGAATTATAATAAAGCACTTTTAATTTTCTGGTCACAGCTAAATATGTTTTTATTTTACCATTAACACTTAATTTAATTGATTCTATACCGAATATATCTGTAGTCTTAAATCGATATTATGGACGTAAAAATCTCAAAATACCACGATCACTTTAAATTGTTTGACACGAATGTAAAACAGAAATAATAAAATAAGGCAGCTTCTACAGTAATAGCAAGACACTCAAATGAACACTGGTTATTTTTCTACAACCGGCTAATCGTATCAAACAATGTAAAGGCACGTTCAACCATTACAAATATCATTGAAATGCTCCTTCATCCGCACATCCCATGACGAATATGAAGTGATTTTACTAAATATTTCTTTTCCAGACAACTTTTTAAATATTTAGTTCAGCCTGGATCCTGTTTTGGATCTAAAATTGCTCTTCTTTCTTGTAAGGCTGCCAATAGCGCTTCCCTAACTTCCCTCTCTGAGCTTCTCCAAAGTCTTATGAGTTCGTCTTCAGATAATTGAGATAGTTCTGATCTGCCACCTGTTGGAGATATTTTTGGGTAAGGAGGGGCCGGTGGAACATCAGACTCTTGAGATACCATTATTTCTACACTCGCTCTATGGCTCGGAGCATCTATAGTCAGATAGTTTCGCGATGAATCTGATACATCTTGGTAGGACCTAGTTGATGAGCCTTCAGGTCGTCTCACCATTGGTGATGGCGTTCGAAGTCTAGTATTAATATCTGGAGGAGAACTCGTCAAAAAACTTACGTCACGACTTAATCGTCTACCGATATTAAGACTAGTTTTCTCATAAATCGATGCTGAATCAGATCCTAACACAGAATCTGTGCTAAATCGTCGAACATTTAGTCCAGCCAAGCTACATCTTTTCCTTTTGCTTCGTGGAGAGCGAAGTTGTCTCGGGGATCTACTTTGGCGTGGTGAGCGACTTGAAGAAACCTCGGGAGATGGAGATAGAAACTTTGACTCTGTTATTTCTTCAGAAACTTCTGACGTTTCAACTGCGACGTTTTCCTTAATGGAGTCCAGTGAATGATCTCGACCTTGTTGAACCCTATAAAAAGTACTTTTAGTGATATAGTGATAACGTTTACATAAAATAAAGCAGTAAAGAAAATAATTACCTTCTAATTTCTTGTATCATTTCAAAAAATTGTGCTTTACTTTTTCTCCTTCTACGCTGTTCGTGTTCCTTCTGAAACAAATGTAATTCCTATCGTATTCTGTCGAAATATATATTCGTACCAATTAAATTCAAAAAAAATATTTCAAAATACAACTTAAAACATTCTATTCATAAAAATCTTGAATTCATATTAATATTCAATACTTTAATTATTAATTAAATTAAATTTGAGTCTTACCCTCTTCACACTTTTTTGAAATAACGACGTAAAATGTCCCTGACGAATAGTATTGACCAATTCCCGTGCTGCGTGGTGAGGTGATACGAGTTCCACACAGTTTATAAATCTATAAAGTTTCTGTAACAAAAAAATAAATAAACAGTGCGTATATGTATAAACGTATATAAACGCAATGTATAAACGCTCAAGAAGTGAAACTTCTGTAGGTTATCGGTTCATTTTATGAAATTCAATTTACGTAAACCTAAAAAAAATTTTCCCCTCTCATGGCAGCCCTAAAAACGTTTCACTTCAAAAAAACAAATTAGTCAGATCCTTAGTATTTCTTTTAGTATTCATAACATATACTTTGAAATAACTTTCACTGATAGGGAATCTTAACGAGTCAGAGTAATTACAAATTTACAAAAGTATCTGCTAAACACGCCAAAACTTTGAGACTGTAGGTACACCGGATGTACGCAAAACACGGTTCGCAAATTCTCTTACGTATTTAAATAACGTTTTGCATTTCTAAGTATTTGGAATAATAATCTTCGATTAACAATACTACGTTGATCGAAGGGTATAATAAAGATGCTAAAAACTTACAAAAAACAAAATCATTTTTGAAGTAAAACTTCTTTATGCGTGTCTGAAGGGTAGGTCAATACATTGAAAAATTGAGTGTCGCGGAAGTAAGAGTCATATAGTAAAAAATTAAAAATATATATAATATGAAATATATTTCACAATAATTATTAGTCATAAAAATGAATATTACTGTGGGATGAATACGCATAAATTAAATAAAAGCTATTATGACAAATGTGTGAAGTGTGAATGAAAGAAAGAATAATTAAAATCGACTTGGCGGGGGCGCTGCCGTGCCCGCCGATAGCTAGAGTTTATTGGGCCATATTGAATGAGAAATTTTTAGTTTCAAACTTCAAAGAAGGATGCAACTGCAAAGACGTGTCTAATAAACTATTGAAAAATTAATAAACGTATTAAGGTAATTATTATTGTGGTGTTATTGTTTTATTTCAATCCCACATTACTAAAAATTTTATAATAAACATTATATTTTTATATCAATTTGTTCTAAGTTAATTGCGGTATCTGTCACAGCACCAAAGAAGTTTTACTTCAACCGCGCGTAATGGTTACACGCACTCTTTTTTTTTTTTTTGGTATCAATGACTATTGATGTTATAATTAAAAATATTTCTTGTAAAATATAATATACAATACCTGACTAAAGAACATAATATTTCTACTTCTCCATATAGTTCCTCTCGGCTGATGTCGCAGAACGGGAAGGGTGTATTTGTAAAAAAGATGTTCTAAAATTAATATAAGGCATCCAACGATCATTCCCACACCCAGAAGAATAAACACACCAGCTACCGCCGCTACTCCTGAAATACAACGTTTCAATAATTTAATCACGTTTTAAATAAAACAATCTTTTCGGATTTTTTCGCAGATTTATTCTGATATATTCTACGCATCGATCATCATCGATCGAATCAGTTTCTCGGTAACCATGATTGCTGTAAAGTATCGAAACGTCGGAAACCAAAAATCAACAATTTACAATTTCAAATATTCGCGTAAATCTAAGGAAGTATTAATTGTATCATTATAACAAGACTCATCTACAGTATGTATATTCCACCGAAAGACACATTTACTTGTTATATTTGTGTTACTTGTTATATGTATATATAATTCTTCTATACGTGTGTTGTTAACTTACTCCTCCTAAAAGACTGGACCGATTTGGATGAAATTTTGTGTGTATATTTCAATGAGCTCCTAGATGATTTGAAAACACAATTGGACCCAGTAGGTGGCGTTGAAGTCAATGGGCCACTGATCATCTCCTAAACGGCAGGGACGATTCTAATGATAAGATATTTTGTGTATGTTCGAGTCCCTGCAAGGTTTGAATTCACACATGGATCCGGTAGGTGGCGCTGCAGTCGGTGTGTCACTAACTTTTCATAAAATACTCCATTTTCCGAATTAAATAGTTGATCAAATAAAATAACAATCGATGTGTGTATGTATGTTTCCTATGGACTCCAAAATAGCTGGAGCGATTTTGAAGAAATTTTCAAGTAAGTAATCTTCAGATTAGCCCAGCGGGTGATCCTGTGAATTATGCTAGCGATCGGAAATTTGGATGCGGGCGAAGCCGCTGATACTGCTAGTAGATAAATAAATTATTATTTTTTCTTAAACAAGCTTTTATAAAATATAAATTATGTAATAAATGAGTTTGATTTAATTTAAAGTTTATCTTTTATTTTTAGTTATTCGCATTTTTTCAGCAAGCCCTTTTCATTTGATATCTATGTCATGGATCGTTGGGAGTCCGCCATGTTGGATTTAGAATGACGTCACGTATTGTCATCCAAAATGCAAAATTTCTGCTCAATCGGTTGAACATCATCAAAAATTCAATCATTTAAAATTCAGTTGTAAGATTTGACCCAAACAAATATTCATACAAGCATTGCAAGTAAAATAAAAGCTTGTCAAATAAATGAATGTGATCGTATATAAATTGCTTTTATTATGGTGAGAGCATAGTTTTGACTTATTGCATATTTAAGTTTCCGGATGGTTAAGACGCAGTTATCTAGTAATTACTAGATTTATAATCTCCTGCCATGTCTTTAAAGAATTATTGTATCTTTTGTACCGAAAAATGTTGAGGCTTGAGTTTTAAACATAATATTATGCACTCTTATTGCAGATACTTATTTAATATAAGGCTCAGTAAAAAAAAAAGAAGACGGACAGATAACTAGCGTTCGTAGCGTATTTTTAAGGTTATTTTTTTTGTTGCACCATTAAGACTGAATTGACAAAGAAACAAACTTAGTGTTAATGAAAAATAGGCAAGTATGAGTCACACATAGCTCCAACAAAGAGTTTTAACTACAGGTCAATTGTTTTGAAACAAATACATAGCACGCCACATATATTGTTTGACACTGTAGGTAATAAATTCTAGGTACATAAGTCCTATCCCTATTAAAATGAATTTTGTGCGTTAAATCATTTACTTAAAGGATAGATTTAACAACACAATTGTGTAATTTTTGATAATTACTTGTATTTACATAAAATAATAATTTTCTATACGATTAATATCTCTTTCATAATTTAACAATCGAATAAATCAGTCTGTAACAAATTCAATGATAATATCTAATGAGGTGTGTAACTATTGTTAATTTATGGTGTATCCAATTGGTTGCTAAATTAAGTGATCGTAATAAGGCAACTTAGTGCGGTCGTTCTGACACGTTCCATTTGCGCTTATATTTATGTGCTATTTTATTACGAGAAAATTATGTTGCCTTCATAAAAAATAACGCATGAGAGGAGAGCTTGCGATTGAAACGTAATTTTTTGTATACATTTTAATTTATGAAATTCAAATCAAAACACATGGCAAAAATAAGAAAATAAAAGCAAAATATTATTAATAATATTAAATAAAGATTAAAGACATATATATATATATATATATATATATATATATATATATATATATATATATAATAGTTAGTACGTACTTAAAATCTAAAATACTAATAATTTATACCTTTAAATAATTAATTTAATTTTAAATTAATTAAATAATCAATTTTAATTAAGTCTAAAACTGTTGAATTTACTATCTAAAATATCATTATGTATAAACATTATAAAAATTACTTCAACCATACTAATACATATATTAATTAAATACATAATATATCACACCGATAGCTAGCCATTTCATCGTAACGCGTTGAGTAACGAGTACTAAGTTATTCGGTGACCTATTTCATGTTGCACACTTTTACATATGCAGAGTGCCAGAACGAAGCGACACGTACTAATCTCGTTTAACATTATTATCCATTCATCTTATCTTAAAACCAGGTCTTCTTGTTATGAAAATATACTGTAGTGATTTTTTGGCCTTCGTTAAATTTATTAGAAGTATAACATTTCATAATATATTATATTATATCGAAATCATTAATGAAAACAAATATTTATTTTGTGATTTAGAAGTGTTTCTAGAAATCTTTTGTAAGCAAATAGCGTCTAAGGGAAAATATTTATGATTCCACTAGTTCAGTAGAAATCAAGGAGTGAAAGCATACTTGGAAGCGCAAAGGTATCGAATTTTTCTCCGAACGCAATATAGACGAGATCAAACATCAAACAAATAAAAAAAAACAAATAAAATAAAACGTTGATTGAACTTTTATAATTAAAACTCATATTTCAGAGTTTTCTACGATTTTATTAGAGGCCAAAATGAGAACTTTAATAAAGTCCAACATTGTGTTGAAGCAAAAAGTTATCTACAACTATTTGTAAATGCACGTACGTTACTGGAATTGCAATACTGCTGCAGTTAATTCCAGTTCGAAATTTTGTTTTGTGTGGTGAACGGTTAGCCGGGCTATTATTGTCAATTGTTCTCTTACTATTGAACACAATAATTTTGAATGCCATAGATTAAATATTTTTCAGTATAAGTTTTGTAAATTTACAAATAAAAACTTTTTAGAACAAAATAAAAAAAATGCGGCATAACAAATACCTATATATATCCCGGATTCGCCTCGTCCGGCGATGTGACCCAGAGAGGATTAAACTTTCCCATGTTAAATTGAAGAAAACACCGATATAATGACTTTTAGTAGCTTGTCAAACATCGAAGATAACAACAAAGCATTTTTAATGCTTTGCTATCCTTTTTCTCCCATGTATGGGTTTTTTGGATTAATTATAAAAAATCTTAGGGCTTAAGTATAGTATATAGTAAGTAAGTATAGTCTATAAGGGCTTAGTATCTAACGGTTAATTAATCAGTCAAAACAAGGAACTTTATATATAAACTAGCGACTCACCCTCGCTTCCCTCGGGTTCGTCCCTAGTTTGATTCCCCATACAAACTTTCATCCCCATTTTTACTCCCTTAAGGGATGATTCCCGGAATAAAAAGTATTCTATGTCCTTCCCAGGCTCTCAAACTATCTTCTTACTAAATTTCATTTAAATCATGCAATCAGGTTCAGTAGATTCAAAGATTACCCCTTACAACGTCACAAACTCACAATTTCACAAACTCACAAACTTTACCTCTTTATAATATTATAGTATAGATTAAAAATATATACAGCTGTAACAAAAATTCAGTATCTTTCTACCTCAATAAAAGCATTCTAGTATCTACAAATAAGCCAATTAATAAAGCTTAAATAATCTTTTTACTTCGATATAATTAAAAAGGAAGTGAAAAAGCTCCTCAAACAATGCATAACGGACGGTGAAGCCACGTAAATTAAGTAATAACAACTTCCAGTGCTGTCCTTTTTCAGTTTTAATCTTCAGTGAAAGTTCAACTAGAATAAGAGGTAAACACACTTTATGTGACATCTCATTTTTTCAACGATAAATCCCACGTTTAATCTTTTAGGTCGGTTCCCTTCCCTCCGCACCCCCGAGGGGTTGGATTAACGCGAGGGTGGCGATAAATTCTAATGAAATTTCCGGCGCAAACGAAACATCTGATATAAACAACATAAGCAAAATAGTGACATGACGAAGCCAGTAAAGTAATTTACAAGAGAAACGTTAACGCTCTCATCATATTTTCAGTTCACGTCTCGTTCCATTTTACATTATTATTTATTTGCTTTATCAATAATAAATTCAATTAAAATAAATTACTTATTTTAAAGATTTTATCTACATCAATTTAGCCTTAATAACAAATTTAACTTAATTACAAAATATAACAATTATAAATTAAACATTTTAAAAATCCCCTATTTAATTGTCATTTAATGATTACACTGGCACGCGTGAAGCACTTAATCGAGTAATCATACGCCAAAATGCTTTACATCATTTTGGAAAAGAGCTGATACTCTTACACAGCTGGACCGACGTTAACCAAACATAGCTAAGAACCACCGCAAGGAAACTGGTTTTTAAATGAAAAAAACCGCATTGAAATCGGTCCAATCGTTTAAGAGGTACGATGCCACAGATAGACACACACACACACAAGACAGACATTGACGTCAAACTTATAACACCCCTCTTTTTGCGTCGGGGGTTAAAAATATACTACTTCATGTAGAAATTATCCAAAATATTCAAAATTCAAAATATTTTATTCAGCATTAAATTACTACAATTTTTACTGAACGTCATGTGTCTACTACCAGTTCGGAAAGAAGAAGCCTCAGACCTGAAAAGAATTGGCGAAAGAAACTCAGCGGGACTAATATTAATCTTATGTATACATTTATAATACAAGCTTCCAGTATTTTCTTCTATTTACATAGTTGTGTTAGTATTTTACAGGGTGCATTGGATTATCTCAGTCTTAAGTCGTATTTCTTAATCCTAAGGTAGAAACCACGTAAACTCTCTACTTTGGTATTTGAATACAAGGTAGCATTTGTAAAACATATTCTATCGCAGCTTGACACGTTATTTTAAAGAACTATTCAAGCTTATTCTTACCGAGAGGCTTTGGTTGTATTCCATAATCCGGACTAAGCTTAAAGCAAGGTAAAGCTCCATACCATTTTTCTGTAAGAATATCCATGTACCCATTAGATGAGTACTTCGCTATCACAGCTGATATGCTGTCCTGAAACATAACAAATAATTAACATTTGCAACATTGAGATCAAGCTACATAATAGCGCGAGGTTAATTTAAAATAAGAAATGTTGTAGATTCTATTTTAAAAATGTTGTAAGCCTAAGGCGTTCTATTGTTTTCTTAAGTAAATAACATTCTCAACACGCACTACCCATTTCGCACACCCCTGCTTCCATAAGAAAGGGGTTACGTGAAAACATTTAAGATTTCTATTTTAAAAATGGTAATGCAACTTACTCGTATATAAAATACGAATAAAAAAAACTTTACTTATTATTAATTCATCAAAATATTTAATATTGAACGTGATATAGATAATTTAAAGGCGTTGGTGAAACGTATTGAAAAATATGATTATAATAACATAAACTTAGATTACTGTATATATTGATATATATAAGAAAAGTCGTAAAATTTTAGTATAAGCTACATGACACTCGGCTATCGATCACGCCATTAGAAGGTTTGCGCGTCATCCATCAATCTTTTGCCTTAAGATCCAAAGTCATCTCACTGTCACTAAAGCCTATCTACGACCTTTTTCATGTTAATGTACGCTACTTATGTAAAGACATCAGTTATACCCATTAGCTCGGTAAGAAAAATATATTATTTGAATACAATTTTTTTTATTGTTTGTAGTTTTATAACACATATCAATCACCATCTAGTTCCATGGTAAGCTACGAAGCTCGTGTCATGGATAACAGATAGTTGAAATACTACACGTAATATATAACTTTAAATACATATAAATTATAAATATGGATATAAAAATTGGGTTACCAAGTAACTAAGAATATTTAACAATATAGCATTTTAAATCTTAAATACCTTTAAAGGAAATCCTTTAGACATGCCAATAGCGTAAGTATCCTTAATAAGAGCATGGTCTCCGACTCTTTGAAGCTTACATCCATGGTCTGTGGCACGATAATAGTCTAAAACAGTTGTGTCGGCTATCAAAAGGTCCAAAGTTCCATTCCTATAATATAATAGACGTGGTTATTTATTTTAAGTGTTATCTAAAGTAGTCTTAACTTATTAAATCATTTAAAAGATATTTATATATAAAACCAAAAAGTAAAATAAATTCTCACTAAAAGTTAATGTAAGATTGGGCAAAATTTATAGCGCAACAATAAACAGCTTAAAGCGCCGCCACTTGGTATGATTTAATATGAATAAATAGATAGATAGATAACTTTGGTTAATGATGATATAAATCTTTAAGAGTAATTTGTTTACTGAACTAACATCTCTGTACATTAGTCATAAACTTATTATTTTAATTATTCTATAATTTTACTTTTATTGGAAATTATAACTATGGCAGCTCTAAAGCTATTAATTAATTATGTTATGATTCTAACCTAAGCCGTTGGATCCCTTCTTCAATATCTTGAAGGGCATAACGACGCATTTGTTGTGCCAGCTGTGGATTATTCCGTTGAACGTAATATTCTGCCACCGATGATCTAGCTGTTCCAACTCGTAAAGACAGCCACTTAAATTTACATATTGCAAATTATTTATGACATCAAAATATGTGCATGTTATATTAATTCTCTATATTAAATAATACTTACGTTACTTCTTCCCTGATAGTCATCAACAGCATTGTGAAAAAATAAACCAGCTATGAGAGCTGCAATATTGGCAGTGTAACTAGCAACAAATATTACAGAAAATCCACCCCAAACATTTATGAGAAATTTATTAGGCCAACTCTTAGGTGCTTTAAATGCGACTAAATGTCCGCATAGAAGACCCCACATAACCCACAGTGCACTGGATATACTAAAGTTCTTTGACCTTTGCCGTCCCCATGGATTAAGTCCAAAAGGAGATAGCCATTCATATATTGCAACGGCAATGGCGGTCACGTTTAGTGATGTAAATATTGCAATCCACAACTCTGGTGAAAAGGGTAACAAAAATGCTAATAAAGGTATATCAGCTCGTTGATTAGGAGCAGCTAATATTGATATACCACTAAAAAAATACGGCTGACTAAAATCGATAACTTCAGCTCGTGCAGCTGACACGCTTAGAGCTGCAAATGACATATGGGCAGCTCCAGATACTAAATCGCCAACAATACCATCCCATTTCTCTGGATCCTTACGCGAATCTTCATAATACGTATAGGGTTCTTTAGCTTTTTCTGATTTACCATTAAAACCTCGATCGTAAAAGTCACTATCTTTTCCATTTGATAAAGACTCATAATCCATATGGTTTATGCTTTGCACTTTTCGAAATGGCTTTACCAACTTTCTAGATCCGTAAAGACCATCCTCTACAATATACAAATGAAAATCAAATTCCAATTCTTGGGCAATATTTTCCAATAAATCCATGGCTAATCCGTAACAACAATGAGAAACCATTTTCCATATTGTAGTGGGCTTAGATGTTGGAAAAAAGAAATCATCTGCTTCTTGATCACTTTCCCTTTCTAATACATTGAAAACTAAGGTCAAATTATCACGATCAGAAGTTTGTGGTCGATGACAAAGTAACCCTCGTAGACACTGACCGTCTTCATCCAGTTCACCTTCCATCACAAAAGGTGGAGCTAAAGCTGTGACTACACGAAAAATAGTGCGTGCACCTGATGATTGACCATGTGCGACAAGACGGCCTCCAGGCCATACAATGGTGTGTAGTCTAACAGCTCGGCCTATGATGCTGCCGACTTGTCTCCATTTGTTGCCACCAGTAGGATTTAGTACCAAATTCAAGAAAGAAAATGTCGCTGTTAGAGCTAGTTCAGGATAGTCTTTACTTCCGGCTAGTGCAGCAGCTGCAGATATCCGCATTTGCCTATAAGAATAAACATGGCAGCAAGCATATTTTTGGAGACTTGTTTTGAATAATTAAAAATATGTAATTTAAGGTAAAGTATATTAATGTACTTGATATATTTATTAATTAAAAAACCGTAATAAAAATATTTTTAATTATTACACATTTACTATCTATTTTCCAAATTAATGGAGTTAGTAAAACTATCTTTTTAGATTATTTCACGGATTTATTTTCATTTTTGGTTCCCGACGTTTCGAATGCTTTACAGTAATCATGGTCACGGGAGAGACTAAGGTTTAAAACGTCTCAAAGGCATTTTGTACTTGTTAAAGACAGAGTAGTTACAGTAGTAGTAGTAAAAGAGAAAAGATAGTTTTATTTAAAATGTCAAATATTCGCCTAAATCTAAGAAAGTATAATGGAGTAAGCTTAATGATAATTATTAAGGTTTAAATAAAAATAGCGTAATTTTTATTTTATTTAATGCCTGTCAAAATATGTTGCTAAATCGTAAAGATAGAAGGACAAGTAAATGAATTCAATCTGAAATGATATAAAATTGTCACGTGCATTGCACATTGAGTTGGACGTTGCGTAAACCGTGAACAGGTTGCCTAGCTAAACGTACTCATTTGTTCGGCACATGCCTAGTTTATTGATTGCATCTGCCAACAAAGCAAATTTTTATGACGCTTTCATAAATTATACATTTTTTACATGAGGGCAAAGATTGTAATTAAAATCATAGGCGTCGTCTCGATAAATGAGAGTTTGAGAGCAGATAAAAACGACTTTACTATTGACCTGACCTACATAGATGCCCTTATTTTGTGACGAACAAAAAGGAAAGTATCCGCTTCAAGTCATGTCAATGAAAGGGCATCATTTTTGTTGAGTCAGCATGCATAGTCTGGCCGACAGCCAAAATTTGCTTCCGTAGTTCAGCCTGATTTATGATAATGTGATCAAGTTGGATGTTTCCCAAAAGTATTTTTTTTTTATTTGTAATTACTTATTTTTATAAAATTAAATTATCATACACCTTGTTTACAAATCTGTGTCAGATGATTTAGGTAAAGTAAGGATGTACTCGCGATTTAATGGCTCAACATAATTGCGCCATTTAGGAACGTAGTTGCGATCACAGCGTTTCTGTGAACGCATAAGACTGCGGGTTTGAAAGCAGTTCTAAGATATTTATCCTACTGCGTTTACGTGCACGTTTTCGGGCTAATACTTCTAACCAACCGCTGTCATGAATTTTTATACCATTTAATATGGTTTTACTCCATTCCATCTCTATGTTAGCAATAACATAACCCAAGCAAGCAAAATCAAAGCTCGTGAACAATATCTAGACTATACAATATAACGAGAAAAGTTTTCGGTGAAACTAATTTAACTGTCAGTAAGAACGAAAGACTCAATTAGTTATACGAGTATGTCACCAAGACATTAAGGATAGAACCACGCAAAAATGTTACAATACCGAAATCTTTCAATGAATTTTTTTTCAGAAGATTTAGAGCTTATATGCCATTTATTTATGATTATGAATTTGATCATTTTAAATAAATTTTATTCAATAATTATACTAGGGGCTCACCCTCACTTCGCTCGGGTTCGCCTCTGGAAAAACAAAAACAAATCTATCCCACAGGAACCGTACATTTTTCCGGGATAAAAAGTAGCTTATTAATAATTAATAAAATATTCCAGACTGTAATCTATCTCTGTGCCAAATTTCATTCAGATCCGTTCAGTCGTTCTGACGTAATTGAGTAACTGTTTGTTAACCCAAACATCTAAGCTTTCACATCTACATATAGGTAGTATATATAAAACAAAGTCGGTTTTGTTACAACACTTATGTATAACTCAAGAACTGCTGGACCGATTTTAATCGTTTTTGATTCGTTGGATTTGTCTAAGCTCCGAATAGCAGAATAACTATTTAAACATCGAAAAAATCATGTTTTTTTAAAGTTACATGGCTAACGCTGGCTAATAACTATTTATATCTATTTAAAACGTACCTAGAGACTACTCCGAGCTAAGCGAGGGTGAGCCGCTAATTTTTAATATCAGTAAGTTTAATAATACATTAAAAATATAATAAGAAAATAAAAGAGACAAAACTACATTCATAATATTACTTCAGATAAATATATAATTAATTCACCCGACTTCATAAAAAAGGAGATACCTACTTATTTCAGGTGCCTTTTTTGAGCGTAAGTTACGCGACTTGTTCTAAAATTATGAGTCGACTAAAACTAATGCTTTGATCTAAACTGAAAACGTTTTGGAAATTTTGATCTATTTTAATTTAAAATTTCTTTTTTTTTAATTAATTTGCATTTATAATTCAAGTTTTGTGTTCTGGGAACTTCAGACCGCTTCGTACTCACTTTGAAGCAAAACCACGGAGATCTGTCCATAAGGAACATCTAACCTTCCTTAGTTTTACCTTAGCCATTTTTACTACTTATCTGAAAATGATAAAGCCTCTATACTCACTATAATTGGTTAATTTTATTAAATACCTAATATCCTAAGAATATTTTATTTTAATTTTTTTTTAATAGCTGTTAATTTTATATAAATCAGTATTTAATTGTAAGTGAAATCTAAAATTTTACTGTGAATACAAAAACTCAGTAAGTACAAGTTACTAAAAGAGGCACATTGTATGGTAGGAGCTTATAGTTCTTGATTTTATCTTATGAATGCCATCGAAAACAAAAAAAGTAACAGGAATGCTGTTTAATTTTATTTTATAAGTAAACGGTTTAAAAAAATAATTTACACATAGATACAAAACAGAATATTCGCTAGAAATTTTGTAGTAACATAAGTCATAAAGCAAAGGTTTGCCATTAACATTTTTTACATTTGTTTGATATATCTATATTATTTGAGTTCACATGAGGACAGTAAACTGCTTCCGGCTTTTTGGATTCCATTAACAGATACCAAATTTTAATATGTAAGGAGTAACATTCAGGACACGTATTTTATTAAATAACGCCCCAATAGCCGCATGCCTCGAAGTACCCGATTTGATAGGTCAAGCGGAAGAATTCATGATTTTCTTACAAAAGAACTTGGAAAAACGATTTAGATAAACAGATCAGTGAGGCTCTAGTAACTAAAATTTGTACAAGGGCGTGGACCAAAATAACTAAATCGACGATTTAGTTACTTTGATGCACACCCTTAATCTATACATAAACTTTTCGTAAAAATATTATTTACAAGAATATTTTCCATTTATTTTATTATAATGGACTAATGGATATTTGCGTAGTTTTTTAATGTAAAACTACTTCGATCCTAAAGGCTATTAAATGCAAAAAAGATTTTTCAAATCTGACTGGCAGTTTCAGAGATAGCCCGTTAAATCAAAACAACTCTGTAGCAAAACGTAATTTTTGTTACAACAATAATGTTAAATATTATAGCTCTAAATTATTTCACGAACTGTATCAGTTTGACATATTTCATCAATTTAAATTGGAAATATTTTACGCAAATAATATTTGGTGACATACCATAATGAATTAAAAGCAAATGTAAAATGAAATTCATATGATATGTAATATTATAAAAGTCGTATCGATTTATGACTTTTTAAATAAATTTGTTAGTTTTCGCTTGTCTAAATCAGTTTGCGAGCTCATTTATATTTCATACTAGCAGAATCCACGGCTTCGCTCGCGCTAAAACTGCAAAAATATCTTTAAAAAGGTAGTTTCATACAACCTTTCATCCCCTATTTTACCCCCTTATAGGATGAAATTCGAAAAATGCTAAAACACGTATTTATTTAATTTTATTGAAGAGCATTAATATCAAGTTTCAAGTAATTCTGATTATAAATATTTTTTTGGATTGTAATATAACTTGTTTCCCTTGAGAATAAGATAATCTCCCGCGGTAAAATGTAGCCTATGTCACTCTCCAGCCCTCCAACTATCTCCACACAAAAAATCACGTCAATCCGTCACTCCGTTTCAACGTGAAAGAAGGACAAACAAACAAACAAACAAACAAATAAACACACTTTCACATTTATAATATAAGTATGGATATCAACTTGACTTGTATTTAGCAATTGTTATATTTTCATGTATTGTGTGGTAATAGTATAGTAAGTAAATATGTAACAAAGTTAAAGTTCTCTTTGGGATAAACAACCCTTTTGCATATTTTATTTTGTGTGGGACGGAGGAACAAGTCTCGTAATGTAATAGTTATCTAAGACACAAAATCTACAAGTTGTATTCATTTTGTTTACTTTCTGCACATTGTAACTTGTTGAATTTTGTCCTTTTTATTATATTCAAATGAGATAAGCCTAAGATTATTAGATTTAAATGTGGACAGATATAAAGGTAGTGGTAGACTAAGACATGATGGGACTGTGGCTACAGCTGATACAGCCGACCCTACGTAGCTTGGAATAAGAACAAGAAGAAGAAGAAATGTCATTAGCTAAGTGTGCACTTCAAACTGGCTGTTAACGTTTTTATTTATTTACTACTAGCGACTCACACTCGCTTCGCTCAGGTTCGTCGCTAGATACGTTTTGACGCTTAGTATGGAACAGATTTTTTGGTATATATATATTATAATATGTATATTTCTGATATATATTATAAAGATGTACATATTTATTATATTATATATTATTTATATTTATCATAATATGTGAGGAAAATTGTAAAGAATCATCGAATATTATTTTCCTTTAAAAAATATGTCAATCAGAATACTCGGGTACTTAACGTTAAAAAAAACAAAAGCATTCCAGATACTGTATTGATATATTGAATAATAAAATATGTCGATCGTTATTACAAAAAAAATGTTTTATTGCAAGTTGGAACTAATTTTAATTAATATTTTCGCTTTGCAGATTATTATGACGAAATGTTTTAGAAATGCGGTCAACAGCAATTTACGGGATTACGAAAACGAGAGCTCAATAAATAAAATAACAAAAACACTGAAATGGACGAGACACAAAACTTTCCTAGCTAAATAGAGTATTGTTTGTAAATTCTGACCCGTACCTACTCTGAAACATTACGGTCAAATATAATTTAAGTACCTACATTTGGATTTAAGTCATAATAAATATGCACAAAATTGCTTGATAAAAATATTATGAACACCAAAGTATTTATCAAAAACTACTTACCAAGTATGTTACCTATATAAAAAATCAGACTAGCGTTAGTATGACCTAAGCACCGAGGGTTCCGTAGCATGAAATATTAAAATAAGTCTATAATAACATTTTTTTTGTGATGTAAGTCCAAATTTACGGTTTTAGGACTTTTGAGGTATGGAACCCTAAAAATGAAAAATATATAATTTCCATAATACAGAAATCATAATGTAGAGATCTAGATAGCCAATAATAGTTCTAGAAATCGTAAACTAGATCGAAACGAACAGTATTGCTTTAAACATTATTACTTTGCTAATACCACAACCAATTCATGCTATTTTATAATCCTACTAATATTATAAATGTGAAAGTGTGTTTGTTTGTTTGTTTGTCCTTCTTTCACGTCGAAACAGAATAACGGATTGGCGTGATTTTTTGTGTGGAGATAGTTGGAGAGCTGGAGAGTGACATAGTCTACTTTTTACCACGGGAGATCATCTCATTCCCAAGAGAAAACACGTTATAACACAACCCGGAAAAATATTTATGATCAGAATAACTTGAAACTTGGTGTTAATACTCTTTAATACAATTAAATAAATACGTGAATAAGCATCTTTTTTAATTCATCCCATAAGGAGGTAAAATAGGGGATGAAAGTATATATGGAACTACCTTTTTAGAGTTTTTTGTAATATTAGCGCGAGCGAAGCCGCGGGTTCTGCTAGTATGATTATATAATATAACATTTATCAATAAATGTTGACATATTTTGTGTGATTGATTTTATTATTACGTAATATTCATGAACAAAAGATCGCAATGTAGTATCACTATATTATCGCAAGCCGTTTGAACCCAACTTAATACTGGCTCAGATATAAACCAACCAACCTTCGCCTTTTAGATAGAGGGACGTAAAAGTAATCTCGTACCGTTCTCGGACTGGCTAGTCAATTTGCTTTTATGATGATGCTCCACGCTTGTTACTATTCTATTGTCTTTGTTCAAATCTGATGGAATTAGATTGAATAAGATTTTACATATACTTGAACAATTTTACTCTAGTTTTTAAAACGAATAGTTTAAAATAAACTTATCTAGTTTTAGACAACATTCTATGTAATTATTTGTTACAAGTATGTTTTATGTCGTAGCCTTTTTTATATTCTGTTTATGTCATACATATTATTTATGACATAACCAGAATATAAAAAAGGTATTAGTAGGGTAAGGTATTAGTAGTTGAAATATGTACATACGTATATTATACACTAGCAAAAATTAATGACATCCTTCACGCAGTTTTAAATAAAAACTATCATTTTGGATATTTTCGCGGATTTATTTTGATTTTTGATTTCCGACGCTTCGAATGCTTTACAGCAATCATGGTCACGAGAGAGACTAAGGTTTAAGAAAAAATCCGAAAAGCTAGTTCTATTTAAAATGTCAAATATTCGCGTATATCTAAGAAAGTATTATCCTTCAAATAGATTCAGAAAAAAAGGTCCTATTAATTTAGATACATCAAACACATTCAAATTAATAAAATAATCTAATCATGACAAATATTTACGTCATGGTATGCTTCTCTGATTATGTTTATTTAAGTACTTAAATACTAGGATTATTTTTTGCAAATGAGCAATTTTTTTTAAACAACTATTATTTTTTATGTTACATTTTAAGTGTCATTTATATTTTTAATAAAGCATGAAGGTGCATTATGTTTTTATGAAACAAAATAAAATTGAAGGACGCATGGGGTGTTGTAGAAATCGAGGCAAGCGAAGGTGAGTCGCTAATTTAAATAATAAATAATTATTTTATTTCTTTGTACATTAAAATAACAAACAAACTTAGAACCTTAATAGACAAAAATCTCTTTATAATAAAAAGTTATTACATAAAAATATTTATTAGACGCAATCACTCATAGTGGTAACCGATATATGAGGTTTTTATGAAAGGCAATGATTTATGTCAAGGTCGTTAAATTGTTGCTTTATTACAAAAACTTTAACGACAAGAAAAAGTTATTTTAAAGCATATTTCCTCTAACGTTCAGGTATATCATTCCTTAATCATTATTGCCTCAAATCGTTACCAACCCACATTTTTATATACTAAAATTAGCATACGAAAAGATTAAAATGAAGTGGTAGAAAAAAGAAATATATCTATACTAATATTATATAGAGGTAGTTTGTGAGATTGTGAGTTTGTGACGTTGTAGGGGGTAATCTCTGGATCTACTGAACCGATTTATATGAAATTTGGTAAGAAGGTAGTTTAAGACCCTGGGAAACACAGGATACTTTTTATCCCGGAAATCATCCCTTAAGGGGGTGAAAATGGAGATGAAAGTGTGTATTGGGAAGCAAGCCACGAGAGGACGAACCCGAGCGAAGCGAGGGTGAGTCGCTAGTATAAAATAATTTTATACTTTACCGTACTGAAGGAAGGCTCGTGCCTAGCAGTGGAGCATTAAACAGGGCTGAACACATACATACAATTTTATACCTTACGAATTCCACAGAAAAATCTGAAGCAGCATCACTAGGTTCATCCCAACATGATGCAGCCGCGTCACTAAAAAACTGCGCCTGAGCCGACCACACGTCACACGCACGTAACACCCGACGAAGGGCGCCAACCATCATTTCTACTGCAGCTCGCGTGAACACTTCATCTAAATTAAAACAATTTTAATGAAGATTCATATTTTTAATCTTCAAACTAATAATTTATAAATTATATAATAAATATAAGTGTCAGATTTAAAAAAAAATACTTATAATAAAAATAAATAATTTATATCGTATTTTAATTTTATTTTTCCTTGCACAATATAAATGTATAATTGTACAAGTAGGGAATGTAAATGCCTCTTTAATATATTAATATTGAAAGTTTGACCCAGACTATTGTTCGAAAACGATCTTACTTATCTGTCTTGATCGCTTGTCATTAAAGTTTCAAATTAGCTGAACTGAAATAATTGGAGAACTAATTTAGTATTATTTCAGAGAACTTACCAATTTTCATCGGTTGGGGATGTAATGCCAATAAACCAACTGGCAACGAGTTGAATATTGCTGTTACATTATCGTTCACTTTATGGATAGGTTCATCTTCTAGTTCCATGTGATCTTGTATGTATTTCTTGTTTCTATCGCCTAGATTATTCATTGTAGAAGTATGCACCGTGGGATTCATTATGAAATCACTAATATCACTTGAAAATAACACATTATCTCTTACGTCTGTACTATGAATACTACTTACAATTTTACCATCTGACAATATATTTTTAGAATCATACAGTTCCTTTACATTTATACTATTTACATATTTATTAAAAGATTCATTTTTTAATTTGCTAGAACTAGTCCTTCTACTTTTATTTCTATCCAGGAAAGTATTTTTTTCCTTCTCAATTGAATTGTTTTCGATTTTAGAAGTTTCAACGCCTTTATTATTTACATTATAATTTCTAATGCTTTCTTTACTAGTATTGCGACTACCATTATACGATTGATTAAAATTTATATATAATAATTTGTTACTTATGTGCGTTTCGTATTTATTTGTTTTCCTAATACCACGACGAAAAATCGATTTTTTCCTACTATTTCTAAAAGATGACTTATTTTTCTTAACAATAACTTTATTCATGTTCTCATCAGTTGGAGTTTCACCATTTTCTACTGAATTATTGTCTGCATCATCTCGCTTTCTACGCTTAAAATGGTCATCAACAAATGCTTCTTTCTTATTTTTAAAACTTTCAAATTTCGAATCAGTGTCTTCTGCACCAAATGTTCGATTGCCAACATTATGAAAGACATCAAACTCTCTAGAAGCGTCAATCCATATCCAAAAAAAATGTCCTTCGAGCATGTTGAGTCGTTTAGCTTCATCCATTACAAGCTTAGCGTAATGTATGTCACATATAAGAACGACGACACCCCTTGTTAACCTTGAAACCTCAGCAAGACGCCTAAATGGAATGAATTAGAATATGAAATGAAAATATTATAATATATTACTTATTAAAAAAATGATATTTTTTTGGTAATTATCTAAATTATAAACGTTGCCACTTTACGTATTACTTTATACCTGCTGTAAGTAAATTGATTTTTAATTAATGACAATCGAAAATGATTTATAGCATAATGTAAAGGGGATCAGTATCCAGTAGATTAAGTGATTTACCTGAAAATAGCGCGTCGAGTATACTTCGCAGGAAGAGACAGCCACTTAGGATTAAGGGGTTGACTGGTAAGAATTGAAGACAGATCCTTTCTCAGAGATAGCGTTGAGTATATGGCTTCCTCGGCAAGCAAAGTAAACGAATGCCAGTGTGTGTGCAGGAGTGTGGCTCTGTCGAAAAACGTATTATCATACACATTTCATTTTCAAATGGAATAAATACTCCTATAATATATTTCATATTTTTATTATTTATATTATGCTAAATGAACATATAAGCTTATAGGTTTGCTTTTTACTCATTCAGTTTAAAATCATTCATCCGAATGTGATGAAACTTGGTAATTTATCTATATAAGTTTATAAGATTTATTAGAGTTAATATAACATGTACAAACTACAACTTAGGTAAATTTAAGTACGAATGTAAGTGTTAATATGCGCATATACAGTATCTTTGTAACTATATCCCATTAACCATCGGTGCATCTGTTAAAAATCTGAATGAATATAATAAAATTGTAACTAAGCCGAATCTGTACATTAAATTTTTTTGGAAAATCTTATTGAAATAGACATTATTATCGATTCAGAGGCCGAATCTATAGCTTTTAGAATTTTTGTTTGTCTGTCTGTCTATCAGTCTGTGTGTGTTTGGTATGATGATAGCTGGTTATCCTGGTCAATATATAGGATACTTTAACTGCGGGAAAATATCTTATCTTTGAGAAATCTATACTAAATTTAAAAATGTAATTAGGGACGAACCCAAACGGAGCGAGGATGAGTCGCTAGTATTACATATTTATAAATTATATATGACATTATTAGATTAGTATCAAAAAAATCATACAATCTTGAGTTAATAAATTAAATATTGTAAGGGAATACCGACTGCTGTATAATATTCGAATTTGGCTGACCTTAGTGCATGCAATGTTTCTCTTGCGGTTATCTCCAGTCGAATTTCCAAAGGCAGCAATTCCTAATAAAACAAAATAAATAAATTCACTCTACAAAATATGGCAGCTTTTTTATTACAGCGTCATTATTAGTTCACGTCCCTACATAATCGTTCTTGAAGTGGGTTATAAATGACCATCATTTCACACCGACGCGACCGGAACTGCGATGAAAGAAATGTGAAATGTTCGAATAAATTCTTAAAATTATCCATCGTCCGGAAATCTATTTTTGTTTTACGCATTCAAATGCTATTTCTTATTTGAGGCGTTTCCCTTTGTAGTGTTTTTAGATATTTATACAGCTTCTTTTATTTACATAACAACGATTTGAAGTTTGCGAAACGGTATAAATGTTAGGTATCCATACTAATATTATAAATGTGAAAGCGTGTTTGTTTGTTTGTCCTTCTTTCACGTCGCAACAAAGTGACGGATTGGCTTGATTTTTTGTGAGGAGATAGTTGGAGAGCTGGAGAGTGATATAAAATACTTTTTATAGCGGGAGATCAATTAATTCCCACGGGAAAACAAGTTATAATACAATCCAAAAAAAAAACAATTACTTGAAACTTGGTATATATGCTGTTCAATAAAATTAAATAAATATGTGTCTTAGCATTTTTCAAAATTTATCCTATAAGGGTTTTAAATTTGAGTTCTTTTTTATAGTTTTAGCGCGAGCAAAGCCGCGGGTTCTGCTAGGATTATATAAAACCATCTATTTATTGAACTCTTATAATTATTGGTAATTTTAGCATTACTTGTGAATAATAATAATAAAAATCAGTTATGTAATATTTAATATTTGTAATAAACAAAACGAAATATTAATAAAGAATTATTTCAATTGGTATTAACTATACAATTATTTCTATTATTATTATCTAATAATCTTATATCTAAATTATATTTGATGTTTTAAATTCAGATATTAAAATAAAAATGATACAGTTTTAGTGTCAACGTTTTTATGAAGATATCTTTAATACGAGTAGGTATCTAATAAATTATGATTATATTTAATAATCATAATTTATTAATAAGATACTTGAACCAATATTTTATTTCATAAGTGCAATAAAGAATATATACGAAACAATGAACATATTCAACGGTTACAGCGATGAATATTTGAGATAGGCTCACATTCGAGATACGCTTTCGTTATTGATGGAAATGGATTTCGAATGCTGCGCTTTCAGCTTTTATAGCTTGTTCCCTAGTTGTTAAGTGGGATCAAATCTGCTTCAAAGCTTTGGGTTGAAATATTTTTTCAACTGCATATCTCGAAATATTAAATAAATCTTATATTGAAAGCACTTACTATTTTACAATCACATTTCATAAATCAAAGTACATAAGTATATTTAGAAAACGCAGGGGATGCTGAAACGTTTTATTATACTGCATATTTTACATTTTTCGATGACGCAGCGTTGAGGCTAGTGCTCTTATGATTATCTAGATGTCTGAAGAGCATTTCAGCTTGTTAACTGGCGTCAGGAATAATAAAAATGTTCATTTAATATATTTCAAGCAACTTTTAAGATATTTTGAATTCTAGTATATTAGATATTAGTAAAAAGCGCATAACGTGGGCAAAATGGCTATGGCCATTTTAATCATACTGTAATTTACACATCCAAGTTCATTACTCTACATAGGCTAAATTTAAAGACACGTAGAAATAAAACTTATTTGACTAAATTGATCATTTCTGGAATGTTTACAATGCTTAAAATGTACACAGATTTAACTTACATTAGCAATGGTATAGGAAAGATGAAGATGGGAGGGAGAGGCGCGTACTACAGGGACCCCAGCACGTGCGGCGGTCGACACCATAGCGGCGGCAGCTGCCCCGCCTCCACAGACCAGCAAAGCTGCCACACGTCGACCTTCCAGCGCCGCGCACGTTTGCTCCAGAGCCCGCGAACTAAACCTAGAAAACAATATAGCTTTAGGTAATAATGTTGAACATGATTCATATATAAAAATATCAGAGGTACGAAAACCGGGGTTTCAACCAGCTTTACTTGGTTACTCGATTTTCAATCGAGCGCGTCATCACTAGGATACCAATGCCGTAAGAACCTTTATCCGTCTAGTGTCTACACAGTATAGAGCATCCTGCTTAATTTTATAACATTAGACTGTTAGAAACTTTCAAACAAACTAACACGATTAATAATAAATTTATTAATTTGTAAGGAAATGTACACTATCATTGCAAATGAGTACTAAGTTGAAGCCTCCTCCAAAGAAATTTTCAAAAGTGCTAGAGAAATTATAATCAAATAGAGTCCGTTTTAATTTGATTTTATAGTTTAAAATATTCCATTCGATAACTACTCTTTATCAGTTATTCTAAGCACTAACAGTATTTACAAACTGGATATAGAGTCTAATTTTAGTTAATTTTTCTTAGTGAATTTTTTTAGAGTAGGATATTATTAGGCTGCACTACATCATTATCCCTAAAAAGTTATGTTTTTTAACAGCGCTAAATATGATTTAGGAAACCCAAAGTTTTTAAATATACCCTAACCGATTAAACAAAACTTAAAAAAAACCGACTTCAAAAAAAGCACTAAAAAGTAAAAAATAACTGATTGGTAGTTTTGATTTACTATACATACCTACCTAATCAAATATTTTCGAAGTTGGTGCCAGCCGATACAAAGCAAAGCACACGGTTTTATTTTTTTATTAAAAAGTTTTTATTTTTCCCTTTTTAGTGTAGACATAGTATTAGCAAAGTAGGAAGAAAATATTTTAGTAAAAAAATCGCTTAAACCGTTTAAGTACCTAAATGGGACCAATCTGGAATACTTTCAAATAAAGCAAAAATTATCCAAATTGGTTAATAAATGACGGAGTTCTGAGGTAACAAACATAAAAAAAACTTTTTAACAAAAAACTAAAAACCGACTTCAAACAAAAGCACTATATGTATTTAATAGGTAGGCAGCAGCGAAAGCAGTGAAAGTCCCGTCAAAATCAATTCAGCCGTTTAGGAGATTAGCCGGAACAAACAGACAGCTAGATCGACAAAATTTTTAAAAATTGTGTTTTTCTAATAAGTACCGTATTTAATTTCATATAAATTATATTATATTATACATAAATTATGGAGGGTGGAAGTAATATAAATTTAGTAAGAAATTGTTATTTTGACATAAGAAACACACTTCAATTTTATTTATCTGTATAGATTAAATATCTAGTTTAGAAATTATGTTTTAACAACTATGTCCAACAATTGTAAACAAAAAGTAAACAAATAAATAAATATAGGTATATCACGTTAACTGTCCGGTGTACCGTATGTGGTACACCGGGAGCGGTTCCGCCGAGTTCGTGTACCCTATGAGTCACACGAGCCCTGTGTTACTCTACTTACCCTAGGATCATGGACTTGTCAAAATAGTTAGTATTTTCTATGTGGACTTGTGGCCAAGGATCTATTAAATAGAAAAAGTCAAAAACATGACTTATTATTTTTAAATTTTTGCTATGACACAAAATAAAACAATTTAGTAGAAAATTAACAAAGTTTTATTGGCGAACTTGAACTTTAGAAAAATTAACAATACAATATGCTTTTTTGCAAATTTTACATTGCGTTGATACCCTTTTGGCTTTGGCCCGTGCTTATAGAGCAAGTTGACCTTCATCAAGGAAGTTTTGGTAGCTATCTGGGGCTCTAGGCCTGGAAGACTGACCTGGAACACTTCTATGCTGCACCTCTCTAGCAATATTTTCTACAGATTCCTCAATCACTGGCCCGACTTCTTCCACTTCCCCATCTTCATCGTCTTCGTTGTCTTGGTCTTCTTTCTGATCCAATGATTCCACGATCCCGTCTTCATCATCAGAATCTTCTAAGATTCTTCTTATATCTTCGTCTGTTATTATTCTTTACATCCCAACACTTTCCAAATATCCAGAAATAAATGAAAATCATTTTTACGCGTGTAAGAAATAGTGAACGTAAAGATTGTCACTAAATATTGCGAAACTATCTTTTATTGATACAATAACTAGTATGATTGAGGGTAGGACGATATTTTTCTGCCACAGTATGCATTATGTTGCCTAATTCATTGTCTACAATCAATAAACTAAACGAAAATTATTATGTCTACTGGCACACTCATGAGTCCGTGGTACACGGTAATTTTAATTCATACGTCCGTGTACCGCCCGGTGTACACGGGTATATCCGGGTTCAGCGACCTATATTTTGTAATTTTTAAGCATCAGTCAATAATTGGACATCGAATAATGGCTAAAAAATACATAATCACACATGGACATACTGCGTATTTCGGAACGCTTGTATGGGTACTGTTAACGTGATATAAAGTCATATGGTGAATATATATAATTGATTTTGATTGCCACTTAATGAAATCGTGTCAAATAATAAAATAAGTCAAAGAAACCGAATTATTAATTATAAATTATTAATTCTTATATACATTTTTTTTAAATCCTGCAACAATATAAACCAGTGTTTTTTCATATTTTTTTCACATAGTATAAAAATAACATAAAAAAATCTTTGTTTCATATAATTTGGACATATTACAATTTTAGGAATATTAGAAAGAAATCAAACGCTTTTATGTAATATTAAAAAAGGGCAAGAGAAAAATTAAGTGAATAATAGTGTCATCAGAAACAACAATAATATTAATCCAGTTTAGTTTCTCTCGTCTGCTCTTCTCAGGTCTGAGGCTTCTTCTTTTCTGGTAAAACTTAAGACTTAAATATTTTAAATTTGAATTTGACAACAACTAAAAATAATTTACATGGTTTAACTAATTTTCTTGTAGAATACAATATTGATGATAAAATGTTAGAAAAAATATCGTTTTGTAAATACACAATATATAACATAACTCTTGTTAAATAGCTTATACTAAAACAAATCAAGTAGGCACCCAAATAAATAAATATGAATAAGAAAGCAATAAAATTCATTCTGAATGACATATTTAAGTACAAATGAAGTACCTACCTGTTTGCTACTGTAACACAATAGTGGACTATACTTCGATATAACCACAATTGTAGCGGAGGATTATTAACGAGGATCGCAATACTTTGCATTGACCTTTTTGCGTTTTACAATTATATACAGGCTGTAACAAATTTGTAAAGCACATGTTCATTGATGAATTATTTTATCTATATAGAATATTATATACTAGTTATTATGAAAACTGTCTTTTATTTTTGTTTTTTTAGTTAAAATTGGTAATTAATATTTTATTATTATTATTATGCACAATAAAAATAAGTACATAACAATTAATAGCACAATTAAAACTATTTCTATATTAAATGCACACAAGTCTTTCTTTAACTTTAACTGTTAATTTATTTCGTGTAGTTTAATATAGTTTTCTCTTTGTTTAGAGTAACTTTCGAGCTAATTATGTATATGTGTCAGCTCTTACAGCAGTTCAAAGTATGAAATTTATCTATTATTAAAATAGTAGTTATGACAATTGCCTATTGTTGGACACTCATATTTAATGCACATAAATATATAATATGTACACAATAGCCATTCACATTAGTTGAAAGGAATGTATTTTCAAAATTCAAATCAGTATGACTTGATAAAATTAACTCTTTATATTATTAAATAGATTTGTAGATGTTCTGTACATATTGTTTCCCTATATACGAGTACATACATATATGTCCATATACATCTTAAAAATATATTAAAAATAGGTACCTACCTGTATAACGATAATATTTTTTTACGTGAAACGTCTTTAAAATCACAACGAAGCATTCGGGTGGGTACCAGGTCAGAAAAGTAAACCGTAACAAAATCGTCTATATTGTCTTACCTTAATAATTACAAAATTATTGGTCTTAGAAACATAAATCTAGTGCCATTATTTAGCTTATATAGTCAGCTCGCTGTTGTCACTTTGACTTTGAGTCAGCGTTGGGTCACTGTCCGATCGACTTAAATAAAAATACGTGTAATTTGGAGAAATTTATAGGAAATAATAACCAGGAAGTATATAAATATATAAAAAATCAATATATCGGCCTCAACGCGTGCTCTAGCCAGCCGGAAATATAAACCATGGCTGTCATCGGAAAAAGGGTGTTATGGGCTACGCAAAGGCACCCCAGTGTACGGCGCTGAGCGAACGAGGTGGTTCTGAAAGCGTCTCACAGCTGCGTAGGCACGCTTAGTTAATAACGCCTTATGTTTCTTATTATTTCTCATATCACAGAGCAATTTTTAACAAAACTGTCGTCCAATATTAATTGAAAGAACTTTATATACTCTACCTCTACTATTTAGTGTCAGTATATAGTATTAAAACCTATTTAGGTCTATGAGTATCTATGTTGTGTATGCTAGTACTTACATATTAGTATCATAATTAATATAAATATTTTTTATTTTTTTGTGCTTATATTAAATATAAACATTGATTCACCCTAACGAGTTAGGTATGCGAAATAGAATACCTATAAGATATAGATAACAAACCAAAACACTAAATATAGTTGTATTTCTACAAAACTACATTACATATACAATTCAGTTCCAATTGAATTCTTTAGTGTTGCAGAAGTGATTTGAAATTTAAAGCCTTTTAAGCTCCTCGCGTTTGCAATATATAAGAATGACGTCGCGTGAATATCCCAAGGTTTGGGGAAAATTCGACAGAATTACTGAAGATGGGAGAACTTTGACATTTTTAATAGAAGATATTCCAGAAGATCTATGGCATACCGCCATTGAATTTATGCTGGGAAATTATATACGGGAAGACGTCTGGTGGACTACAGCCGGTAATAATAATTTTGGTTTCATTTTCTATACATATAATAAAATTGTAATTAAGTCGAATCTGTACATTAAATACTTTTTGGAAAATCTAATTGAAATAGACATTATTATACAGAACATATATAACAGATACAGAGTCCGAATCTATAGCTTTTAGAATTTTTGTCTGTCTGACTGTCTGTCTGTCTATCTGTTACCACATCACGAGAAAACTAATGGACAGATTTTGATGAAATTTGGTATGATTATAGCTGGTTATCCGGGTCAATATATAGGATACTTTTTACCGCGGGAAAAAATCTCATTTCTGAGAAAAAATACGAAAACTGAAATGTAAGAGTATACTAATACATAACACCTAAGAATTTGGTTTTTGGTCATCTGAACGCAGGCGGAGCCGCGGGCATTGCTAGTCTTTAATATGTCTATTTAATTAATTTCTAATAGTAATAAAAGTTAAAAGTACATTCGTTTTGTATTTATAATTAAGTATAATATTTGTAATTTACTTTATTGTAATTAATTACCAATTCTAACAGTATCTCTTAATAAATAATTCATTACAACTACGAGTATATCATAAACATCAAGCAATCCAAATGAGGATTCAAAATTTTAGTATGTTAAAGAATATTCTAGATGTTACATGAGATGCAAAACATTAATAAAGCCCGATGCCCTGTTTATGACGTAAATATTTTTTGCAATTAACTTAATCCCATCTTATACTGTCGAGCTCTACGCAAGAAAATACCAAGTCATTAAGAAAATTCGCTAAGAACTCCCTCCCGCACCTCAATTATCTCACAAACCACAAGGATCGTCTCATTTTGTCATTTTACTCCCTCCTGATAGGCAATATCTATAGAAAAAGTAATTTTGTTATACAATTAATTCAGTAATGTGCCATATATTATTTGTCATATAAATATTTTACTCTATTTTCAATATCTCTACTTTGAAATTAAATTGAAAGTAATGTCTAAAGCCTATGCTATATAATATGTATTTATTCCTTACAAATACAATCTGTCTATCAACAAATAACATTACCCAAATCTATACATATAATAAAATTGTAACTAAGCCGAATCTGTACGTTAAATATTTTTTAGAAAATCTTATTGAAATAATCATTATTATCGATACAGAGGCCGAATCTATAGTTTTTAGAATTTTTGTCTGTCTGTCCATCTGTCTGTCTGTTACCGCATTACAGAAAAACCACTAGAGGGAGTTTGATGAAATATGGTATGATGATAGCTGGTTATCCGGGTCAACATATAGGATACTTTTTACCGTGGAAAAATGTCTCATTACTGAGAAGAAAATACAAAAACTGCAATGTAAGAGTATACTAATATGTAAAACCTAAGAATTTGGTTTTTAGTCATCTGAACGCGGGTGGAGCCGCGGGCAATGCTAGTATGAAACTATTGTTATAATTTATAAAATATATTATCTGTAAAAATGAAGTCGTTACTTCGTGGATTTTTGAATTCAGAGTAACAAGAACTAAATTTTTAAATGTAAAAATTATGTTGAATTGTTTCCGTGTATATTTAATGGGCATGGCGTATTTTATCATTAATCCGAGGTCACTGGCATTAAGCTCAGCATCCGAACCGAGCGCATAGTAAACCCAAAGAGATTAAAGGCTTAAAGAGAATTTAGTTTCTGCTTTATATAATCAAATGGTTAAACATCAAAAAGCTACTGTCAAGCCCGAAGAACTTAGCAATTAGATTATTTTGCGTTAAGTAAACTGATAAAAAATTTTTAACAAAAAAATAAAAACCAACTTCAAGAAAAGCACTAAAAAGTTAAAAATAATACTTTCTTAGATTTACGCGAATACTTGACATTTTAAATAAAACTAATTTTTCGGATTTTTTCGCGAATTTATTTTGATTTTTGGTAGTGGGTAGGCTGTCTGTAACAACTATACCTTCAAGCCATGTATCACCTCAGTCTCTCCCGTGACCATGGATGCTGTAAAGCATTCGATACGTCGGGAACCAAAAATCAAAATAAATTCGCGAAAAAATCCGAAAAGATAGTTTTATTTAAAAGTTAAAAATAACTGATTGGTAGTTTTCATTTACTATACATACCTAATCAAATATATTCGAAGTCGGTGCCAGCTGATACAAAGCAGGTGTGCTTTGCTTTGTATCGGCTGGCACCGACTTCGAAAGTATTTGATTAGGTATGTTTAGTAAATGAATGGGCAAGTATACACTTTCAAACAAAACAAAAATTGTCCAAATCGGTTAATAAATGACGGAGTTCTGAGGTAACAAATATAAAAAAAAACACAGCCGAATAGAGAACCTCCTCCTTTTTGAGGATGTCGGTTGAAAATAGTGTTAACTGATTCCTTGTAATTATTTCATGCTCTTCATTTATTTTCAGGTCATTATATTTTCAAAATGTATATATGTATGTATATATGTATGTATGTATGTATGTATGTATGTATATGTGATTATTATTTATTACCTTTATTTCTAGCATATATTTAGTATATTTTTTTGCACTATGTTGCCCGCTGACATCTTCTTCCACAACCAGTGGTCGACTGGAAGTGATCTCTTTTAGAGATAAGTCCACCTTTGTGAACTATATTTACTTGTGTTTTTTTCTGTATCATATTTTAAGTGCAATAAAGAATATAATTAAATTAACAAGGGGCTCGTTATCTTCATTGAAATCTTTTAATGGTATGGATAGCATAACAAGAAATTAATGTTGGAAGCTATGTTTATTTTTTAGAAAAAAAAAATATTTTTAAAGGTTCTTTTGTAATATAGTTGTTATGCACAATAAAAGGAATCGTAATTGAATTTATTTTATTAAAAAGTACGTAATCTATCCATCTATATATAGAAAAGGCAAAAGTGATTGACTGAGGTATCAACGCACAAGTCAAAATTTTAAGGCTAGAAAATTGAAATTTGACACACGTATTCCTCATATGACGAAGGCATCCATTAAGGAAAGATTTTTCTAAATTCAACCCCCGAGAGGCTGAAAGAGGGAATTTTGTATGAAACTTTTTATTCCTAGGACATATTTGCATGAAATTTCGTATGAATTGAGTACGGCAAAAATAATAAGTTACATATTTCAGCGTTTTTTAATATTCAATCCCTAAGAGGGTAAAATAGGGTATGAAAGTATTTATGAAACTTACTTTTTAGAGTTTTTTTGCAGTTTTAGCGCGAGTGAAGTCGCGGGTTCTGCTAGTAACGAATAATTCATAAATTAGAATGCCACGCAATATTTACAATAGAATAAAATAAATATTTAAGGGAGCTCCCATACAACAAACGTAATTTTTATGCTATTTTTATAGATAATGGTACGAAACCCTTCATGCGCGAGTCCTAAATTAAAAGATTAAACAATAATCGAGTTGCCAAAAATATATTTGCCAATTGTATTGTGTATTGTGCAAGCGTAATTATTGTTTTATACATTTTTAATTAATTCTCAATTTTAAGAAAAAAATAAAAACTTGCCAGGTGCGAGTCGGACTCGCGCATGGCATGATACAGCCTGGTCACAGACGGATAGACAGGCGGACAGACAGCGGAGTCTTAGTAATAGGGTCCCGTTTTACCCTTTGGGTAGGGAACCCTAATAAACTAATCTAAAATTCTCAGTTGTGAACGCAGAGCCCGAACCATGAGTTCGAAACGTGCGGTTTCTCGATAACCAATCACAGCGCGAGGACCTTGGGCCCCCATCAGCTGCTGGCATACCTCGATTCTTGGCATACTTTCTTGGCATTCTTGGCATACTTCGATCTTTCTTACACCTAAAAAGATTTTTTTGTAGTACTAATTTGTAAACTTTATTTACGTCTGGGAAGGGTTTAAAACCGCTAAATTCGTCTGGCGATTTGCAAATATTATTGAAAATTACTCAATAAATACGTGTATAAAATTTCAGATTGCCAAAAGTTTGTTTTTTGGAATAAAAAAAAATGAGTCTTTGGAGAGGTCTGGCAATACTTTATAACCGAAAAAACGTCTGGGGGTTTTTTTTAATTATATGAAAGCTAAATGAAAGGATTAAACAAAAATCAAGTTGCCAAAAATATGTTTTTTTGGATATATTTTTTGCAAATGTTGTATACTGCGCAGTGGCGAAATAACCGCTAAAGCTATACCAGACTCGCGGGACTGGACTCGCCAATTCACGAAATTATATTTTTTCACAATTTCAACTTGCCAAAAGGTCCTTCCCAAAATTCGTCGCGAGCTCTCTGAATAATATATTAATAAAATAAAGACACTTATCATTTCGGTACGTCAATTAATAAAATGAGATGAAAACCCCTGATAACTAAGTACTACTTATGATTAGTCCTACTAGCATTTCATTGTATGATGTTTTATCGGTTGTTGTTCACGCAGTACAGGAGAAATGGATGGCTATGAGTTTTCTTCTGATATAATATCTGAAAAATATATCTATACATATAATAAAATTGGAACTAAACCGAATCTGTACATTAAATATTTTTTGGAAAATCTTATTGAAATAAACATTATTATCGATACAGAGGCCGAATGTATAGTAAATGCAAAAATTGCAACGTAAGGTACTATACTAATCTGTAAAACCTAAGAATTTGGTTTTTGCTCATGTGAACGCGGGCGAAGCTGCGGGGAATGCTAGTTTATTATAAAAGAGAGAATTAGTAATAGGTGGAATTCGGAGCTAAGTGAAGCATGACCGTATCATGAACGCTATATAAACATGTAATGTATTGAATGGTTATTTGAGAAAGGCAAAATTATATTCGTAGATAATATTTATTTCAGCAAATATGAAATTAATCACGTTCACAGAATAATTTTATTACTTTAAACAGTATCAATCTACATTTTCTACTTTATTATTAATAATACTTTTAATGATTGAAAATTGAATGGAAAATTGAATATCACAAATTGATTCTCACAAGGGGCTTCCATTTATATGAATTTAATTTGGGTGGGTATAATTAATTAATGTCTTTGGAATTGACAGGAACGGCAGAAGATCCACAGGCGATAGAAGAGTATCGCGTCTTATGGACGTCTATTGTGAAACAGAAAATGAGTTTGGCATGTTTTCTCATAGAGGGTGACGGAAAGGGACGCACGCTTGTCGGAGTGAACTTATGTATGCCGCAGGAAAAGGGGCACTTCGTTGAGCACAATCCAGTAAAATCTTTACTAAAGTTTTTAGATTATAGAACTGGTCGTATTTAATATTTGTTGTTCTGTTAGCCAAATTCGATATGCGCTTTTTTCTTTACACTTAATATTTTATAAGAGTTACTTACCTATCTAGCAATTCAAAAGTTTACTTTTATTTACTGTGTAATTAAACATTCACCTAGTTTATGACTATTCGTCTAAAAATGTTGCTGATTCAAATTCATAACTAAGAGAAGTATGGTCATAAATTAGAAAATTATTAAAAAAATAAACGCCCTTCCATAAACGTAATCTTGAATCTACGGTAGTATTGAAATTCTTTGCACGAAGACGCCATAAATTTTCGCCTTGTTCCTACATTTAACAATCACATCCAGATTACAATTGTACCTATGTAGTATAAGAAAAAAAATCTCATTACTAATCGTGTACAAAGTACACAAATTACGTGTAAACAAGATTTTAATAAATCTTAACCAAAGAGAAATTTTGAATGTAGTAAAAAAATCTTCATAAAATTAATTATTTCATTCGAAAAGTAACATAATTCAAGAGCTTTTATGACGATAGTGTAATTTAAAAGTTATTATATTACAATTTTACTTGTAATAAAAACGAAAACAAACGAGAGAAGGGATAGGAAAATTAAGATTTTTTTACTAAATTATTCAAAACGGTTGTTTTGAGTTATGACTGTTACATAGTTAAACTAGTATCAAATTAGGGTAGAACAAGTTAGCTATAGGGGCAATGAAGAAATTAAAAAGAAAAAAAAACGTCATCATCAATATGAAATTGTTGTATTGGTCGATAATAGGTACAACAATTTGCATTCCCCGTTTTTTTTTTCATAATTCGAATTTAAAAAAAATTAAGTTAAACTCTAAACAACTTATAAGTCTAAGAATAAAAATATAATTTCAAATAAAACATTTTTTATGTAACAGATAACGTTAAAGTGTATTTATTTGCTAACTTAACAGCCTAAAACGAAAGCAGGCGTGCTCTCGCTACGTATGTTTAGCGAGGCTATGAAAGTGACAGCGATTTACGACAAATACGACGTGAGTAAATATCTCATGGGAGCTGGTCTCTCCGTATCTCCGGAATACCGAGGCCTTGGAGTAGCTGTGGAACTGCTTAAATGTAGGTAAGTGTATTCAAAAGTATTATATTTGTATTATTATTTTTGAATCCTTCTTATTATTTATTACAAAACTAACAATTTTTAGAGATTTTTGTATATTTAGATTTATTATTTTCAAGTCATCAAACAGATTAGACGAAGTATTTAGCCAGACTTTATCCTGTGCTAGCATTAAAGATCACACCTTTTTTATATTGTTAAAGTTCAAGGATAACAGTTCGACGTTAATTATATTCTTAACAACACTTTAGCTGCGTTAATTGCTGCGTAAAGGTTAATAAATATAAAATAGTTTACTACATATTCATTAAAATTTATCAATGAATGTAGTAAGCATCATCAAAGAAGCTTTTTAACATTTAGCTTAGTTTGCAGTGACCCACCCTACTTACTGTGCTAGCGGTCGCAGGTCTCGCTGGGGGCATTCATTTGTGTGATGAGCACGAATGTGTGTACTCCACTAATGGGTGTTTATATTTATAATATGTATGTCTTTAAAGTTGTGTTGTGTTAAAGTTGTGTTGTGTATATGTAGTGTATCAGCTATCTGGTATCCGTAACACAAGGAACTAGATTTTGCTGTGTGTTAATGTCCCAACATATTTATTTATTTATAATTCTAAGAATAAGAACTTGACACTCATATAATTACCATGACTTAACTAAAATACATTCAATATTAATCAAATATTTTATAACTTTTCAGGAAGTTGCTGGCCAAAGAAGAAGGTCTTACTGTAACAGGAGGAATATTCACAAGTGCATCGGCTCAGCGTTCCGCGGAAAAAGCCAGCATGGAATGTATCTACCAAGTTCCGTACAAGAAATTTGGAGAACAATGCAAAATCGAATTTAATACATCTACCGAAAATTTGAAAATATTCGCAGCGAAAGTTGAATAAAACTTTAAATTTTGCTTAGAAACATGAAATATCCTTCAATTTATTAGAATTACGCTTTTATTGTAGATCCAAATACAATTTTACGATTCTATAGAGCAAAGTTATAATAACACTTCAAATGTACTTGCTATAAGATACACAAGAATTCGTTCTTTTGCATACTATGAATACTAATGGATGCTTTCTGCAGTCTACTTTATGTTAATTTTGTAATGGAGAGTTTTATATTATATTAATTGGACAGATTTTCTAGTATTTTATTTTCTTCACACATATATCTGACCGGAAATAATAACAATCGCATGTTACAATCGTATTTAAAATATTCTTATCTATCTATATAAATAAAAATGAATCACCGAAATGTATGTACGCGCATAAGCTTCTGATCGACTACGCCAAATTGGATAATCCTTTTTTTTGTGTTTTTTATTGTCAGGACAAGATTTTTATAGAAGAAAATTAAAAGAAAATAAAAGAGATTTTTTGACTAAAATAAGATTATTTTTAAATCTCATGATATGAAAAGTGAGTGAGTGAAATAGTTTTATCCCAGAAATCATCCCTTAAGGGAGTGAGAATGGGGATAAAAGTTTGTATGAGGAGTTATTATTTATTAGGAGTTAGGGACGAACCCGAGCGAAGTGAGGGTGAGTCGCTGGTATCTAATATTTTAGTTCTAATACCTATTGTGAGAATTAGCGCTATAATTATTATATTATTATAATTGTGTATGTTTATTTACAAACTTTTTACTGTACAAAGCATAGACCGCACAGGGGACACTTGCATTAGGCTGCTGTCAAAGTATTGGAAAAGCCAAGTGGCACAAATCCAAACTCGGGTCTCGCACCTCTTATAATTTCATTTACGAATATCATTCTTTAAATGCGATTACACAACCCACATTTGGCCAGTATGGTGGAAGATAGGCCTTGATACTTAACGCCTGTGCGCAGCAGTGGGACGTTGAAAGGACTGAAATATTATTATTATATGACATTTATATAGCGCGACCTGCATAGTAAAAATCAATATTGTTTCACAGATTTTATTTATGATATATGTAAATCTTGGCATATTCTATAAATAAAACCGAAAATTTCCATTTTTAGTTTCAATGTAAATTTATCTGGTGCTTTCATTGATATCCACGAACATTAAATCAAATATTATTTAAATCAGAAATGGATATTTTAAGTTCTGCAATTTACAAGATCAAATTGTGACTCTTATTAAAACAACTCAAAGATGTCTGTGTTTAATTGTCTGCAGCGGGTTTCAGCTTTATGACTACGTTGGGATTGCCGAAAGGAATGATAAATTGCTCCTCGTTTGAAATGTAAACGACTTTTAGTTGTCGAGTTGATTTTACATGCATATTATAATACACATCAGTATTAATCGATTACTATTTTCCTTGTAAACGGCAGTTTGTAACAATTTTATGTGCATATTTTAACTTATTTCATTGTATTTTACAATATCCTTTTTGCTTATATGAGTACATAGTTGTATTTTCAGTGAAAAAACAAATAGTGGCGCTGCTCATAAATTCTCGGAATGTATGATAAAATTGGCTTACTTCAATAAAAGCAGTATAAATAAAAATCGTATTACTCATTTTTTAAATACTTTGCTGTAAACCTAACTTAATTTTTAATTGAACATAATCGAAGTATCCACGATATCTAATATAAACTTTTTTCAGCTTATCGTCGTCAACGGCTGGATAAAAGCCCCACATAGAACACCAACCACCCTAACTACATTAGCCTCAGCGCGGTCTGCACTCTAACTCGTTTCGCCGACGATGACCATATATGCATCTGGAGAAATGACTAGTCCACTACCGCCTGCTATTTCTACGCTCGGTGTCGGTGACTTTAGTTCTCTGGCGAATTCTATCTACCAGAAGAACTTCAAACATCACTTGTTCCATGGCCCGCTGAGCGATCTTTTTGGGAAATACGTTAGCGATGCACTGATAAAGAGCCTGATCTTGAGGAACTGTGAGATCGATGATTCAAAAATAAGACGAACCTCCCGAACGCTGCCCAACTCATTATGATCATGTTACATATTAGTAAGTATGGATAAAAAAACTTATGTTCTTATACAAATACACGTTTAACACGGTTTTGTGGCAATCGTACAAATTCAAATCATAAACACTATCGTAATAGCTTGCCCAAAGCTTTCGAATGCTCCAATTAAACGCCATCAACAGCGCGCTTAGTACCCTTCGCTGTGAAAACGACGCTTCGATTATAGTTCTATATAACATCCTCTTTTCTATAATACTGGAGTAGAATGATTTGCACAAAGTTAGTCCGATAATAGCATTAAAGAAAAAAAAATAGGGGCATGCTACTTATGTTTATATACATTAAGATACCCATGTCTTCTTGCATTTTTGTAAGTTCTATGTATGTATAGAACACATAGGATACTTTTTACCCTGGGAAAATGTCTCATTTTTGAGAAAAAATACAAAAACTATAATGTAAGAGTATACTAATATGTAAAACCTAAGAATTTGGTTTTTGGTCATCTGAACGCGGGCGGAGCCGCGGGCAATGCTAATATATATAAACATGTAATATTTCAACTATCTCATATAAACTATTATATATGTGATAGCATTGTAATAGCTGTACTGTTACGTTTTAATTAAACTAAATGAACAATGTTCTCAATATACGATATTACGGCAACTGTAGCTTCAATTATTCTATGTAATATATGTATCAGCGTAGAGGATAACGGATTTCTGCAATTACTTAGGAACTTACAACTAAGTCTACGATTACCGATAAAGTCAAATGGCAAGGATAAGGATAAGCTTTTGTTGTTATGCAAAGTAGTATTTAGTTAAAGTATAACCTTAATAGATACGAAATTTAAGACGAGCCTGTACTGTAAAGTAGCTACGGTGTAGGTCCTTAATCGACCGCATCAAAATTATTTTGGGAGATTTTATGTTACATATATATATAACTTGTATTAAATAAAACGAGCTAAATAACTTATACTATAGTACACTTTAAACGGACTTAAAGATTTCCATATAATAATAGCTTCCGGTTACCTACCAGAATTACGACTACGAGTATATACATATTATGAGTACGCAGTATGGTATATAAATGTAACATTTACATAAAGTACTAATTGCAGGTATAGTATAAGCAAATGTTGACCCAAATGTTGTGCTTAGCCATTAATTACGCTATCTTGTTCTAATTTAATAGACTATATGTAGAGAATGTTTAATTGCCATAGCTTTACTAATTACTGAGCATGACAAACTTCCTCGATTTTGCTAGTGCAAAATATCTTAGGAAAAATAAAAACTTTAAATGATACGTTAATGGTATTAATAATTAAATATAGAGTAATAAATAAATATATCTATATAATAGTATATAGTATATAAGTACAAATTAGGTAATGGCGCAAAAGTTATCTAATACGATTACGCTTGCTCTTAGGACTAATCTTTGTAAGTGTGGAAATATAATATACCTAGTCATAAATAACTCGACGGAAACTAGTAGTACATGCTGGGGCGTTTAATTTTCCAAGCGTAGAGAGTCTATTAACAGTGTACAGAAATAAATTTGCCAGTGTAGAGTAATATGCAAGACTAATGGCCGATTTCACCAACGTCACCTAAGTTTAAGGGATCCCCTAAGCATTGTTAGGGGGCTGTTAGGGGACAGTTTCTGTTTCACCGACAGTTAGGGGTCACCTAAATGTTAAAATGCCACATAAATATGGGTACTAGAAATACGGGCTCTGACGATGGTAAAACGAAATTTAATTTAGGGGCGTCTTTAGGGTAACTTTTAAGCTAGGGATCCCATACGTAGGTGGTAGCTTATGGGATGTTGGCGAAATCAGACATAAATGTCTCTTCATTAGCATTGATATTTTCAGAGGCCTCATAAATCTATTTATTATAAAGTAGTAAAATTTGTTTGTTTTATTTTCTTACAAATGATAAACTTTGCACTTAAAAAGTGTGCCTAATTATTTTTTCATTCTATTACTAACTTATTTGGCATTCCTTTATAATATAGCTGTAGTGAGTTATACATTGTTATATTTGGACTGATTTGTGGCCAGAATTCTTCGACAAAAGAACAGACTCGTTTTAGGGCTCATTTGTAAATCTGTAACTGGTGTACATATACAATCTGGATTTGTTCAATTTCTTTTCTTACATCCCCCAGACTCGGTTTTCAGCATTTTTTTTCTATGTACAGACATTCGACCTCTACAATTTTATTATATGTATAGATTTATTATACCTTGTTACAAAAATAAACATAAACCACGATATAAATAACGTAGAGACGATGTTACTTTTGCTTTCTGCCCTTCGCTCATAAATTAGGTCATTAAAATTGTCATGAGTACTAAGGTATCATAAACACCAAGCAAAGTACATTGTATGTACACACATGTTGAACGTCAACGAAAGACCTGCACACTGCACTGAGTGCAAATAAATTTCTTACAGCATACATTCCTTAACACTTATGATCGCCTAGTACTTTTGATGACGCCACATAATGGGGTGCCCTTAGCTCCTAATATCTGGTGACAGTATGACGACACGTTTGGCTCAGTGTGTAGTAACCCTACTTGCTATGCCAGCGGTTGCGGGCTCGAATCCCGCTGGGGGCATTCATTTGTGTGATGAGCATGAATGTTTGTACTCCAGTCATGGGTGTTTATATTTATAATATGTATGTATTTAAAGTTATACATATGTAGTGTATCAACTATCTGGTATCCATAACACAAGCTTTGTAGCTTACCATGGACTAGATGGTGCTGTGTGTTAATGTCTCAACATATTTATTAGTAATTGTCAAAGAACTAGGACCCCACACACCTCACGGTATGATCACTGTACACGTATATATATGTGTACGATCCCGTTAAAAGAGTGCATACGAACTACTTACTACATACACATAACACTTATGATCACCTAGTACTTATGATTGGTATGATTGATTTGGATAGCTTTTAGTAAATAAAAAAAAATGTTGTGAAGGTCAAAATATTCTACTTTTTCCGGTCTAGCTCTCATACGTGCTGATTATAACACGCGATAGGTAACTCTGTTCCAAAATCGAGCAAAAATATGTTAACTTATGAGTTTATATAATAAAGTTAATTTATGAGTTAATAAAATAAAATTAAAATAAGAGGAAAAATTCAAACGGTTTTATCATGGAACATTGTACAATATACAAAGCAGGTAAAAAGACTTTTTGTTTGGAATGAGTTGAAAGGAAAATTTCTAGCCGTAAGCTTTACTTGTGTAGCGCTCTTTTACTTTTATTGCGATCTGTTTATTCTTCTCTGCTATAAACTATTCTCTTAGTGAAGGATACTTATAAAGTCAATAAAAATATTCACTAAGTTGTTGACCTATATTAAAGACCATTGTTTTGTACCTAATTAAGGTGTGGTTATATTATTATTGGTTATCTATACATAATATAATAAAATTGTAACTAAGCCGAATCTGTACATTAAATATTTTTCGGAAAATCTTATTGAAATAAACATTATTATCGATAGAGAGGCCGAATCTATTGTTTTTAGAATTTTTATCTGTTTGTCTGTTACCGCATCACAGAACAACCACTAAAGTGATTTTGATGAAATTTAGTATAGTGATAGCTGGTTACCCGGGTCAATATATAGGATACTTTTTACCGCGGGAAAATGCCTCATTCCTGAGAAAAAATACAAAAACTGAAATGTAAGAGTATACTAATATGTAAAACCTACGAATTTAGTTTTTGTTTATCTAAACGCGAGCGGAGCCGCGGGCAATGCTAGTGATATTATAATATTAATGAGTTAAGCAATTATACCTACTATACTCGCTTTATATTGTAATATTGCTACTAATTTAATTTGATTTGTTTATTAAACTACTGTAAAGTATATTTAGTTGTTTTATTAATAATTTATCTTCACATATTTTTATATAGTAATATTATCATGGGATTCATAACAGTGGTTCAGCAAATCCACTATTTCAAAGGACACACATTCGATTTTCACTTTAAGCAAATATTTACATTAGTCAAGTAAACATTTTCTGAATGTATCTCGTACTATATCGTATATTGTATAAGCATCACTTGCTTTCAGAGTGCTTCCAGCCTTACTTTTAGTTTACAAAGCATAAAATATGTTATGACACTGCACCTTTTAAGGTGTTGATATAGTAATTGTAGCGCGATTATTGCACGTTGTGAAATTTTTGTGCATATAATTAATAATATTTTATATTAAAAAAAGTTGTACTAAATATTAAATTTATGCTTTTCATCAGATTTTAATATTTGCGGTTCGGTAAAAGGAAAACTTTTTAGTAAATTAGTGCCTTTTAAGGGTAAATTGTAAGACAAAGACGTTGCTCCCTAATGAGAGAGTTTACTTGACTTACTTCCTTATAAAGATTTGGCTGAATTTTATTGTCCTTTCAGCACATTTTTACCGCAATTTCGTTAAAATATTTAAGCTCTTAATTCTCTAAGTACTTGTAGATTAAAAATTCAAACTCTCTTAATAAATTATTGTATTATTATTATTGCAAAATGTTTAACATGTATATTTGTAAAGTGTAATTGTATTATGTATTGTTAAAAAATTATATGACGAGTTACACTAAACGAAACTAAAGTCAACTAAACGAAATTTATTGCTCGGCGGGTCACAGATTTCCTACGAAATTAGTTGGCCAGTAGTCTTGTCAAGGGTAGAGATGATAACACCAAATGTCAAGCTTAACAAGTTTAGCAAGCTTTCATTATTTCGAATTCATGGGCCAAAGGTTTTCCTACAAAATTCTATCTTTATATCACAAAAGTATTGAAATGATTTATATAGTACTAGTGACTTATTCCCCTTCTCTTAGGTATCTTTTTATAGTCACCTAGGTGTATTTATTTGTATTTTTATAAGTATAATATAAGTATATGGTAATAAAAAAACTCCAAAACCAATTCGTTCCCGACTTCAATTAAAATTATTATGATTTCTGAAGTAAGAATATTTTTTCATAACAAAAAATATCCTATAAGCATTTGAAAATAAAATCTTCCTATTGGCATATATTACCCCTACATCTAAACTTTACCTTTTTATAATATTCTACAATGAAAATCAACGTAAAAAATTACCTTTCATCTTCTGGAAGTTCTATGTACAACGGCTGTAACGTGATATTGCGTAGATAAAGCGGATAATCGCCTGCCAGGTAGGTTTGCGACACTTCGCTGATGGTGCGATTGAAGGCGCGTACTGCGTTTGCGGCCGAGGGCGGCGCGGCGATCGCCAAGTAGAATGCGGTGCGCGCGTCCGCCTGTAGCACGCGTAGCTCCCGCGCGGCCGACACTAGCGCCAGCACGGCCAGCGTGAGCACCGCGCGCACGCGCATCGCACCGCCCGCCCTCACCGCGGCGCCGCCCGCCCCCCGCACCGCGCCATCGCCGCCTCACTAACATCCACCCCCCCTCACCCACCCCTATGACCCACCCGCACGCACATTTGCTATACGCTTATACTATATACGCTCTACGTGTTAAACGCTAATGTTAGCTTTAAACACTTCACGCGGAGTGGTTACTCGGATAGTACGCGACGACGGTATCTGTAACAAAAATGATTGCTTTAAATTTTGTGTTGGTTAGGTTAAGTAATTTCTAAAATCTTATCTAAGTATATAAAATAACTAATATTATATAGTTTATATTCATTTCCATAGTATTTAGAATTTTAGCCGACGTTAGTTTATGTTGAAGTAATACTTTGGTGTAAATAAGCGTAAAACTGCGGTTTAATTGACTATTTTGGACGATATTAAAAATTATTGATTTGTGCTACTTGTAAATATTATATCATATTCCATGATAATATTAAATAAATTATAATATAATATTCATTAAGCCAGTGTCTCTTATAATCTTAATTAGTTAAAGGTATATTTCATTAACGGATGATTCAGGCACAGTATCTACTAATTAAAGCCATAATTTTAGTGTAGACAGGCCGCCTAACCGTTGCCAAGTGGCACGATAGCAGAACCGATAGCGTTAGCTGAGCAATTGCCAACTGACAATGCAACATAAGTATAATCAGTAAAATAAAGTATTTTGAAACCAATATTTTTTAAATTTTATTTTAACAAAACTTCGAAAAAAACCTGCAAAAAGCTGTGTCAAAAGGACAATAAAAATTATAAAGATAAATTGGTACGTAGGTATCAAAATAGTTTTCGGTCAAATTATTATGGAGAAAATAAATAAAACGACTAAAAGTTAACTACAAAAAAATAATATGACTATTATTAAAAATCTATTAATTAGCTTAGTCACAATTTCAAGACGCACTTTCAGCAATATTAACTTAATGAATTCGTAATTACTGTTTAACTTTTCTTCGAATCATAAATTTCCACAGGGAATACAATACGGACCAATAATTAAATCTTTACTTATAGCATAGCTTAAGCGGAAAACGGATAAAAGGGAAATGCTGCTGCGACAATCGCATTTTACTGATAATCCTAATATATAAACCTTTGTTAGTCACACATTGTGGAAAGCAAATATTCATTTTAATTTCACATTCACAAATGCAAATGGGTATTTTTTGATTTATTTACCTTCGCACAGTATTAGAGCAATAGATCCACGCGATTAATTAATTTCGTATAAGCTTGTGTTGTACTACATCAAATGCTTTCTTTACAATACTTATATTTATATTGCAAAAATTTCTGAAGGAAGAACTGGAATAAATAGGACCTGAAGAAAGTGAAAACGGGTTCCCAGTTCATTTGTAAGATAGATCCGAATATATATAAAGAATCATTTTCCTAATGATGCACTATGGATATTTATTCAATAAAAAATACATCATAGCAATATTGACACGTATCTAATCTATCAAATCGTTCTACATTTCATTTTCTCTCTTTCTTGCAATTTTTAATACCATATCATTCATCTCTTGTACACCATGCTTTCTATACATAGTACTATATCACTTACTACACAAAAGTATACAAGAAAAACTTTTATAAATAACAAAATCAAGAACAAAATACTTAATATATTTAATTCATTGAATTTCATCTCTTCTTAAAGGATACAGTTTCAAGCCAATAGCTAAGTTAAAGTTAGTACACAATTTGAACTTTTGGTTGCCACAAAGTTTAGGCACTCAGTAACTTGTACCAACACTGATTATTGGCTGAAAATGGAGAACTAAATAAAATTATTTGCTATTCTGTGTAATACAAATATCTGATATTATAAAAATTAAAAGAACAAATAATTTTGTAACTCGATGAACATTTTTGTACTAAATAAAGATTTTATATATAAATTTTATCATAACAGAATAAATTTTACTACATATATATTTTTACTAAGTTAACATCTTTTATAAATAACTGAGGACTAGCAGAAGTAATAAACAAACAAAACACACAACAAACACTTAGATTTGTAAAGTCATATAAACAACATAAACGGGAAAACCTCATATGGTAAAACTAATAAGATATCAACTCATATAAATCTCTTATAACAATATTTTAAGTTAAACTGAATGTCTAAAGCCAGCTCATAATTAAGTTCGCATCTCTAAGTTGCGGTCAGCTTTTACGTCTCTCTAATTGTATGGGACTATTAAACTAACTTAATACTGAATTCAAGTCCTAAGTCCAAGTGATTTTACTATATGAATTAATTAATATACGAAATGAAATTGTTTACCTTTTAATTTAGATTTTGCTTTATAGTTAAACAAGCTTCTACAAAAATAAAAATAATAAATTAACATAATTTTGAGGCTCAATTACAGCGACAAGGGTTTATTTCAACGACGCGGTCCCTTGACCCGCAAATCATCACATTTTACACATTCCCAACGCCGCACGTGTGTAAATGAGTAATGAGAAATTTAAAACATTCGCAAAACTCGTTCGGTAATTTTACGGAATAACTTATTTGCTTAGAAATTATAATTAACAAAGTAATTCGGAGATCGAGAAAGATTTAGGTTAGATCACCAAGTCATAAGCAATAGAATATCCATACTTACTTACTAATATTATACATGTGAAACTGTGTTTGTTTGTTTGTCTTTCTTTCAAGTCGAAACGGAGTGACTGATTGGCGTGATTTTTTGTGTGGAGGTAGTTGGAGGACTGAAGAGTGACATAGTGATTTTCTAATCCCCACGGGAAAATACGTTATAATGCAATCCAAAAAAATATTTATGATCAGAATTACTTGAAACTTGGTATTAATGCTCTTCAATATAATTAAATAAATACGTATTTTAGCATTTTTCGAAATTCATCCTATAAGAATCATCATCATCAGAAGATAATTATCTACCTACATACACATATGATTATTTCACATACACAATATGGCATCGCCATATAAAAATTTTTTATATTGAAATGTAATAAAAATATACTTTCCCATATTTTTTCATACCAGTTTGTATTCATATGAAGTGATTAGTTTTCTAAGAATCTTACTTTTTTTTTAAATGCGCAATACTACAGATAAATAAAATAAAATCATATTTTAGCAACATTGTAAGTACCTTTACATACAAAATGTCTTTCCCTTTACCTCTCCTTAACGTAGGAATAGATTTTTTTTTATTTTGTAGAGTTAGCTTGACATTAGCTATTTTTATTTTTAAACAACGAACCTACATCAAGTGATACCTGTGCGATATTTATATGTTGCTAAGAGTTACTAAAAGACTCAAATACTTGTACCTCTACGTTGAAAACGTAAATTGTCATGTATCTATACAGATAAATAAAATTGAAGTGTCTGTTTATGATGTCAAAATAACAGCGTTTTACTAAATGCATATGAAATTATATACGGTACTTATAAGAAAAAACACATTTTCTAAAAAAAATCTGTCTGTCTGTTTGTTCCGGATAATCTCTGAAACGGCTGAACTGATTTTGATAGGACTTTCGCTGGAAGATAGCTGATATTATAGGGAGTAACATAGGCTACTTTTATTTTAGAAAAAGAATTAGGGTTCCGCTCAAAAAAACTAAAACGTACCTAGTACAAAATATATTCGTATAATTTTTATTAGAAATATCTGCACTCTGCACCGAGCTTTTGTAGCGTTTCCTTCGCTATAAACCTTATGCTTTATAAAGATACTTATAAAAAAAACTAAAACCTTTTTGGTTCATTATAAGTAAATGAAAACATGTCTACATCATTTTTCGGCATTGCAACCAATCTACGAGTAAATATTTCCGTGGATGATATTTACTGTAGTTACAATGAAGCCTTTGACGTAATATCGAAGTTGTAGGCTTTCAGAAACGTTTCGCTATTACTGGTTCATATAGACCGGTAATACTCGAAAACCCTGCAACTAAATTACATATGTTATATTTCTAAATAATATATCTAAAATGTAAGTATATTAGACGATTCTAATAAAAGAATTTCAATCTTTAATATAGAAAGAACAGCACTTGCTTTAGATTTAATATAAATTTAATTTAAAGTACCTATCTTATAGGTCTATCATGTCTTATAGCTCTTGTAGCGCTATTGAGTCGAATGAGTAAGCCAAATAATCCAACCGCGTAAGAGTAATATTATATATTACGCAACACTAGTTCGTCCTTTTTGGCTTTACCTAGGTATAAAGTGGTAAGCATGCTTACATACACTGTCATAGACATATTTATATAACTGCCTTGGTAGTTTAGTGGCTAGCATGTACAGGAGATTTGAACCCAGGACGGGTTCGAGTCCCAGCTTGGACCTAGTTCAGATATTGATTATTTCTGTGAAGAAATTCTGATATGTATTATATTATGTTAATATGAGTAATGTTAGAGCTATTTAATAACACATCTATTTTGGGAAGTAAATATACAAAATTGTTAGAGTTTTTAAACCGACGAACTGGACAGACATTTGGTCACCACCGGTTATGAGATTTAAAACTTACTATTTTTTACGCTACTTGGTATCTTATCTGACATTCAGGCTGATGGCTCAAATAAAAATTACATATAAACACATTAATAAAATTCCTATATAAAAAAATACAGTACTTCTAATTATCAGTAAAAACAACGCTTCACATAGCGTTGTTACTGAATAATACATGACATGAAAATAACGATGCCCTTATATTATTAATATGAGGTAATTATCGCGTGTATTCTTTATAAATAATTTACATGTAAAATAGCAATAATTAAGGCTTTAAATAAAACATGTTTAGGCATATTTATATTTTTTTATTTAATTATAATAATATAAAATTTTGATATTTGATCAAAGAATTATAGTACAATTTAGTTTTAACGTTATTTGCACAGAAAAGTATATTATTGTAACATGCTTACGTTCAAACAGT